CTGTCTCCAATAGTGATGTGCTGGGAACAATGGTGAACTCTTTGTACCATGAAGTGCTCTGGAGGCAGGGCTGCATGAAAGAGTGCTTTCAATAAAAAGCCTTTTAAAAAGGAAGGGAGATGTTTTTTCAGCTAAAATATAGCAGTTTGATTGCATAGATGTTCAACAAGTGTTACGTGTCATTATGGAGATAACTGAGATCGTAGGTAGCTAACATCAACTCCTTTTCAGCTGAGCTCAGCTGTGACCTTTAGGATGAATGTCCAATGACCAAGCTCCCTCATACATATTAGATCAGATTATTAAGTGAGTTTGGCTGCTAGATGCTGACAATAGAGAGCTGGCCAAAAATCACTTTTAAACGCAGGCCAGTCAAGCTTTTCAGACCTGGATGGCAAGTATTGTCACCCAGGAGTTATACTGATTAATCTGACTTCTGAGGCCCAAACATTCGGTTAACTGCCTACTTCTTTGAAAGTTTTTTCAGGTGAGATGCCTCTATGCTATCAGATTCATCCTTTATATATATAAATAGTTTATATATATATATAAGTTTGTCTGCCGGTAAAATAACCTACTTCTCTCTCATAATGTATGCTGAACTTGTAGTTGGCGATAGGTGAATTCTTTGTTATAAGTCTTTGTTATAAGTGAGTCATTGAATAATCCCCCCCAAGCAATTCGTCAAAACATTGTTTGTTCAGTCTGTTAAAGAATCATTCAATAAATGGCGTGTATATATTCATTATAGGTCCAACCAATTAAATGCTTCTTTACAGCACGGACTCGAATGCTATTTGCTCGTGCTAATAGTCGGAAAAGTCACGCACTTCTAAAGGCAGAAGCTGTGAAAGGATTTCTGTAGAAGCTTTTACTTCAGTGAACAAAAAAATATGAATCAGTTTGTGGAACCGAGTGAACGAGAATGATTAGTTCACCTAAATTATTTGTTCAAAACAACAAATCATTCACAAAAATGAAACACTGCTACCCAAACTCGCAAAGAAAAATGCCTAACAATTTAGGCCTATATCCAACACAGGGCTCATGTAAGCTTAGTGTCTAGCGAAGCTTTTCTTCTTTTTCACCACGTTAATCTGTCAAGTCTCTGAGCAGCTTTCCCCTTTTTATGGACGCAACACAACGGCAGTATTCAGTGGTTGTGATTTAGAGTGTGCTACTTTACTTGGTCCCAGAGTTAAATCTTTAGCATTTGTCTGTATAGAGGATACTGTGCTACAGGATAAACAGCCGCTTAACAGCAAGCTGCATTTGAAAGACAGAAACACTGACGCACTGATCTGCAGATGAAGACACCCAGTCAAAACCCTCGCTGTTAACTCAATGCATGACTCTCTGGTGTGCTTTCTCAGTCACCTTAAGTGAACAAGCCATATGTTGTTCTGCAAGGCACAGGGGAAAAAAATCTGGAATTTGGTTGTGTCTGTGCTGTTTATGCTATTAGTGTCATAAAGGACGAACTGATTCCATATATAATGGCTCAGATTCCAACAACCTGTAAAGCAATTGAAAACCCTCAATGTGCAGCATGAAGTACCACAACATCTGTGGAATATGTTTGCTGCATCTACATAACATACAAACTCTTCAACACCTGCAAAGAAATAATTGCATGCACATTTATTACTTAATATTTCATTCCTTTATTGAAATGTGTCAGCACGCCTCCATTTAAACATTCCGACGGAAAATTGGGCAAAACAAACTTAACAATAGCATTTCAAGTCCTGACGTGACAGCAGTTGTGATACTGTTTTTGTGCTATCGCACATTCTCTGCCCTGAGGTTTAACCTGGCACAGATGCAAGCCTTTCTAATCATTGGTTTGAACTGAAAAAACCTCCCACATTTCAAAATAACATCCTGGTGCAGACAGTGTGATGACAATTTTAGATTCCAAGGACAGTTAACTTCCCTTCTTCCTGGTTTCCATTGTGCTCTTGTGATAGCAGAGCTCCTCGGGGATGAATGCAACCCCCCCTTTTCTATACCACAAACTCACAATGGCTTAGGAAGAACTTTTACATGTAAGACACAAAGATTACAGGACGCTGTCGTTCTAATGCCGCATTAAACACGCTAACATTAAAAAAAATTCCATCAAATAATTGTGCAAAATCTTTTAATCTTTTGCTTAAATGCATTTTTAGCATATATATATGCATTTTTAGCATATATATATATATAGCTATGCCTTTAACACTTTAGATACTCCAAACTTTTTCAGCTGTCTTAAAAAAAATACAGTCTCTGATGGGATTTCTTGATAATGCCTCTTAAAGGGATAGTTCACCCAAAAATGAAAATTAGCCCATGATTTACTCACCCTGAAGCCATCCTAGGTGTATATGACATTCTTATTTCAGACGAATACAATCGGAGTTATATTAAAAAATGTTCTGTCTCTTCCAAGCTTTATAATGGGAGTGAATGGGTGTATGTCTTTGGAAGTCCATCAAAGCGCATCCATCCATGATTAAAGTGCTCCACGTGTCTCCGGGGGTTAATAAAGCCCTTCTGAAGTGAAGCGATGCGTTCGTGTAAGAGAAATATCCATATTTAAAACTTTATCGACTGAAATAACTAGCTTCCGGCAGACGGCCGTACGCAAGTCGACTTACGCCAAAAGAGTAACATTTGACGATGTATGACGTAGGTTGTAGGATGTAAGAGTAGCGTAAGCTTTGACACCTCTCGGGGTTCAAACAAACAGGGCTGGTCAACCGTGTTTGTCATTACGTTGTGCAGCAAGTTCAAGGGTTACTCTTTCGGCGTAAATCATTGCGTACAGCCGTCTGCCGGAAGCTAGTTATTTTCTAACACGAACGCAACGGTTCACTTTTGTGTCCTTAAAACGCTCGTTTGTTGGGGTCGACAGATTATAAAAACGTTGTAACATCCCGTTGTAACATCCTACGAGGTAAAAAAAAAAAGGATGACATCTAGTTGAGAAGGCTCGTAGGCCTAATAATATTCACGTTAATTGAAATGTGTCAGCACGCCTCCATTTAAACATTCCGACGGAAAATTGGGCAAAACAAACTTAACAATAGCATTTCAAGTCCTGACGTGACAGCAGTTGTGATACTGTTTTTGTGCTATCGCACAAAACCCCCCTATACCCTCATATCAATATCAAATTTATTTCTAGAACACAGTTCCAGTAGTGGGATTGAATGTTAGATTGAATAAGTGCACTCAATAACGTCCACAATGGTTTCGGACACCCAAATGGCTGTTCCCTCAAATAGTGCCCTATTTAAAGTCTCTATGAAAAGTTTTTTGGCTTTTAGTATAATTATGTAAGCCTTACTGTTATCTATAAGCTATTGTACTCCAAAAGAATGACATAATTCGTATTTAGAAGACTAAACCCAACGTTGAAAATAAAAGTCAGGTTGATGTCAGAATCCACCGTCAGTTTGACGTCAATCTCCAATGTCGGACAGACGTTGTATTGTGGTTGAAAATGAAAATCGGGTTGACATCAGAACCCGACTGATGTTGGTTTCTGACGTCAACCTGAATTTAATTTCCAACCAAAATCCAACGTCTCTCCGACGTTGGATGTTGACGTCAATCTGATGACGGGTTCTGATGTCAACCTGACTTTCATTTCCAACCAAAATGCAACCCCTGCAACCAAAATCATCCCCTAAATGACGTTACTACTTTCTACTCAATGACCTTGATAGAAATAGTGGAGTAAAAAGTACGATATTTGTCTTTTTGTCTTTATTTAAAGTAAAAAGTTTCCAGAAAAAATAATACTCAAGTAAAGTGCAGATACTCAAAAAGTGTACTTAAGTACAGTACTCAAGTAAATGTACTTTGTTACTGTCCACCTCTGGGTATGACTGTATACAAGCATGTTAACTGAGTGGATTTATTTCTATGTGGACATAAGCCTAGCCATTTAAGCTCAGATCCCATTGTTTAGTCATGTATCTTTGACATATAGAGAGAGCCAGGAAAGATCTAAAACAAACAGGACATGTGAACAGAACAAAAATCTCCAGCCTATACATCCTGAGGCATTATGCAATAACCCAGGACCAATGCACAGCCATCTGGAGAAGACATGTGGCGCTTATTCTGCAAGCAGCCTTTTTGGGTGTTGACATGATTTTAGATTTTCAGGAAAAGCTTCAAGTGTCTCAGCTGGAATGCCTTGATGACGATGACGATGACATTGACTGTTGGCTTTCCAATAAGAACTCTTTGACCTTTTTGCCTGTTTATTTTCAAATGATAAATTAAAGAAAAGAAGGGACTAATTATACCACCACGGAAAGATGTAACAGAACTAATTTATGTAATATAGGCCTACCCTTTGTTTCATATGCTCCACATTAAGTTTGTGTGTAATAACACCCATCAGTCATTACTGAATGACGTGGTCTACAATTTATAGCTAGGGCAATTTACATCAGTCATAAATAACTGTTGCCATCCATGATATCCTTTCAAGTACTGAATCTTGATTTAATTAAGAAAGTTCTGACTCACCCTGCAATTTTTCTGATCAATCCTGTGTAGTCTGTGTTGAGCTTTATGGAATTCTGGGGTTAATGTAAGGGTAACATATAACATTTGAATATAAAAACAAAATACAATCTATTAGTTGACTTGTGAAAGGTAGAAAGATCAGCCCTATAAAATCTGGTACAAATAATCATGAGTTAAGTTTTTTTTTTTTTTTTTAGAACAGACGCACAGACAGACAACTAACTACCACCCCCAAGTGGTTACTTGAAAGCACCTTTTTCAGTCAGCAATATCTAAACGTTCAAGATGTATATAAAAGAGTTTTTTTTTTAAATGCACAAAATACTTCTTTGATATTTATATTTACAATTACATTCAATACTAATATACTACGCGGCAGTTAAATGCTTGATTCTGATTGATTCTTGTCATGCATTTTGTGTCACTGGGCTTTTTAAAGAGCCCTTGACTTTTATTTTGAAACTCTCAACAGGAAGTAGTTGCTGCACAAACTTCCGAGAAGGATGCTCGAAACCCTGTAAGGGATTTCCCTTTATTTGATAGCCTTGTTGATTGACGTGAAAGAGAAAAAACGCAGTATTAAAAGGCTAGAAGCACAGCGCCAGTCATGTCAGAGACATACGGTAGGGTGATTAATTTTCCTTTTCTCTTGTCACACTTGTTATCGACAGCATAGCATGATTTTTAGCTGGTGTCCCGAGCTCATTCATCACAGTATTTGCTTACAAGCTGTGTTTAGTGCCAGCTAGGCAGCAGCTTTCTGTCTGCCATATGTTTCATCGACGCTAGTCTTAAGTGTTTTATTTTTGATTCGTCAATTAAAAAGGTACTGACAGCAATAATTACTGTATTACGTTATCTTTTGGAATATTACTTGAATGTTATGATAACCTCTTTAGTCTCTATATTAGATAATGAGTATTGATAGCCTATATAGTCTGGTTAATCTGTTATGATTTAGTAACATACATTCATATACTATGCTATTTATATTATGTACAAGTTATTTGCATTTTTTTAACAAAACAAAATCTTTGTTTTTGTTTTTCTCCCCTCTAGATTTCCTGTTTAAGTTTCTTGTGATAGGAAATGCAGGAACTGGAAAATCTTGTCTGCTTCATCAGTTTATAGAAAAAAGATGTATGCAATTTTCTGTTATCTTACCAATAAATATTTTTTTTAAAACATGTAATGTTACACCCGTCAATGTTCTGTTGCTAATGTCTTTCCTCTGTTCCTCTAGTCAAAGATGACTCGAATCACACTATTGGGGTTGAATTTGGTTCAAAGATAATCAGTGTGGTCAATAAGTTTGTCAAGCTCCAGATCTGGGATACAGCAGGACAGGAACGTTTCAGGTGTGATATTTTTCTAGAACTGTTTCCTTCTTAGATTGGCCGTGTTTGTTGTGACCACTGTGAGATATGACTCATGATGAAAATAATATATATAAATAAAAAAATATCCAGATTTGTTCTCAGGCAGTCAGATGGTGCAGCATTTCGTGAGGGAGTGATTGAACTCCAGATTGCATGTAGTTTATAGTACCTCGCACAGATTAATTTGTCAGCGCTGTCAACATAATGCTTAATTTGCACTGAACTTTTGCCAGCAGCTTCTTCCTAGAGCCAAAATACATTTAGAATGAAAATATGCTAATGTCACACAAATTATTTATTATTTAAACATTGATTTGAAGCTTCTTAAAAAAGATTTATATATATTATAGTCATATGTCATGTCTTATCTTGCACAGGGCACCAAGTGTTATTGTATTTTTAATTGGCTTTTTTTTTTATCATATATTTTTATTTCAGTTTTAGTGTTGCGTTTAGTTTCCAATACATCATTTCTAAATTTAGTTTCTCATCTAATATTTATATTTTATTTCAGATTTATTTTTCATTACAGTTACATAATTAAAAAAAAAATCACAAGATAACTTGAAGCAAAACATTATGCAATTTGTCTCTTCCTCAAACAGCATTGAGCTCATTTTATTAAACATTAAAGAGCCCTTTGATTTGTTGATCAAATATATGTAGCCTGTCGTGTGCAGTAAAACGTTGTCCTACATGTTCATTTCCGAATTACAAGGCCTTATATCCCAGATAAGATAATATGCTGTAGTCATTCAGGAAAAAAATGCTATAGGTTGAACAGATGTTGAAGGAGCCCTGAGTTTTACATTTGATTTGACTAGTGGTAAGTTAATATTGATTCTTCAGTGCCCAGTGGCGTTATCTAGACTGAGAGCAGGGTGGATGATTGCTAATATAATAACCAATATACAACCCAGAGTACCATTTAATGTCAGTTACGTCATTTGGACATTAATGTCTTGCATTTGTCTTTGTGTTCATGCCCATGGTTCACAATCCAATCAATTCTAGATAAAAAATATAAAAAAATCATTATTTATTATTCTGTTTTAAGTTAAATGTGTTTGCGAATGACAATTCAGCCTTTAAGCAAGTAATTATTTTAATAGTATTTATATCAATAATAATAATATTTACTCAAAATTAAATCAAATATACACTACGGTTGTATAATTTGAATAATAAATGTTGGGGTTGGTAAGATTTTTTTTTTATGTTCTTTAAAGAAGTCTCTTAGTCTCACCAAGGCTGCTTTTATTTGATCAAAAACACAGTAAAACAGTAATATTGTGTAATGTTATTGCAATTAAAAATGATTCTTTTCTCTTTGAATATATTTTAAAATGTAATTTATTCCTGTGATGGCAAAGCTGAATTTTCAGCATCATTACATCATTAAATCGTTCAAATATGCTGATTTGCTGCTCAAGAAATATTTCTTATTATCAATGTTGAAAACATTTTTTTGCTTAATTTTTGTGGAAACCGAGATGCATTTTTTTCAAGATTCTATGAAGAATAGACAATTCCAAAGAACAGCATTTATTTGAAATAGAAATATTTTGAAACAATCTTTACTGTCACTTTTGATCAAATTAATGCATCTTTGCTGAATAAAAGTATTTATTCCCATTATCTGTTGATTAATTGCCAATGCCGGGTAGCTCTAAAATGACCAAATATCAGCCATTTAATTGGTTGATTGATATATTGGTTTACCGCTAGATTTAACCAGCTGTTATGCCAAACTCTTGCAGACCTTACAGAGGTTTAATTGTACAAATGTTTGTTCTCCTCAGGTCTGTAACACGCAGCTACTACAGAGGGGCAGCAGGGGCTCTTCTTGTATATGATATCACAAGGTAAAGTCACACTTGTATATCCACTTCCTCTGCATAATATTATGGGTGTGTGACTATTTTCTCAGAGATTCATATATTTCTGGATGTTTGCCTAGACTAGAGCTAGACTATGATATGTATTTATAGATCCTTAAGTGTATTGATCTCTCACACTTTCTGTCTCTGGATGTTAGTCGAGAAACATACAACGCTCTGACTAACTGGCTGACAGATGCCCGGATGTTGGCCAGCCAGAACATAGTGATTATACTGTGTGGAAATAAGAAGGATCTGGATGCTGACCGTGAAGTCACCTTTCTGGAGGCCTCGCGTTTCGCTCAAGAGAATGGTGTGTATGTCAGACTAGCAGATACCTGCTGGTTACTATTGATCTTCTTGCATATTGTGACTGTGCCAATAGAGGTCACTACTGGATAGAATTTCTAACAAACATGAGCCCACTAGTGAACGTGTAGACTCACAACTGGCTGCATTGAGATCACAAGGGCTATTCAGAGAGTAAACCGTGATTGGTTATTGGTGCATTGCTATTGTGTATATACTGGTGTTTATGGATCTGTGTTATTGTTAACTAAAATTATTTAAAATGGTTTGCATTAACTGAAATAAAGCTGGGGGGGGGGGGAAATCAATATTAGATTAAAAGCTTCAAAACCAAACAAAATGTGGTAATGTTTCTTTGGCAACTAACTGAAATAAAATTTTGAAGTAGAATTACTAGAAGATAAAACTGAATAGAAATAGAAATATTTAAATAAAACAAAAACTAATAAAAATGGCAAAAGTACATAACAAAATGGCAACTGAAAATATAAAAATTCAAGCTAATTCTAAATATTATTATATACTATTATAGCATATAAATACTAAATAAACAGTTTATTAAATAAAAATAAACACCTAATAAACATGGCAAAATAATCACAATATTTAAGTCATTTTGAGAATGCATTAATTTCTGAAAATTATTTATTTAAAAAAAACAGATGTAATATTTTATGTTTACTTTCAGAGCTCATGTTTTTGGAGACCAGTGCACTAACAGGGGAGAATGTGGAGGAAGCTTTTGTCCAGTGTGCTCGGAAAATCCTTAACAAAATAGAGTCAGGTACAAAAAGACCAGTGCCTTGTGCTCTTACTTATAAGCTTATAAAGACATTTGAATAAAGCTGCTGTGCTTGTCATTTGTTTGTGTAGGAGAGCTGGACCCGGAGCGGATGGGTTCAGGAATCCAGTACGGAGATGCAGCGTTGCGGCAGCTGCGTTCTCCCAGACGGGCTACGGCAGAGAGCGTGCAGGAGTGTGGCTGTTAACACAGATCCCAGACAACTGACCAACCAGGTGAAGGTCCAGAGGCTTGACTTCTCTCTGCTCACTTTTCATATCTGAGGTTTTAATATTAGAAGGTTGTCTAAGCTCTGTCCTGAGGGGTTTCAGCAGTTCCTTAGCATTTTCATGTGCAATACTTATTAGGGGTGTGATATTGTCTACGAGAATATCGTGATTTTTGTTTTAACAATGTGCGATCTGACATTATCGAGTATGTCCCTCACTTTACAAAAACACATATAGAGAGTGCACTCATACACTACGTGATGTAGTCTAGAGAGTTAGTAATGCGTTTGTGCATTTAGAGTCCACAATTTCACTGTGTGATTTAGTCTATTAAAATGCATTTAGAATGCTTCCAATATTCAAGATAAGGAGGCAAAATATCTCTGTATTATATACAGTATGTAATACCTCTGTCTTTTTAATACACCTGTCTTTTATATTTATATCGTATAATATAGTTAATCAATATCACATGAAGTGTGTTTTTATTCTCCAAATATCAGCATGATTACAAATGTGATAATAATTTTATACAACAGTTTAATAAACAAGTTAATATTAAGTGACTTGCATTTTATACTCTGTATTGCCTGTTTTTTCTCTATTTCGCCGATGAAAATAGTTCCAAAAAAAGTCACAGGACTGTTTAGCAGCACACACCGTTGTTTCGTCACTGAATGAACGAATCGTTTGAATGATTTATTCAATGACTCACTCATTAAGCCTTTTAAATGAATCAGTTGAAACTCAATGGCTGCGTCCAAAATCGCACACTCTCTTGAGTAGGTACTTATTTGAATAAGTCATCACTTCATGACCGCTAAAAAAAGTACGTTCTATATAGTATGAATGTGTGTAGTATGAATGCAATCCGGATGCATTCGTCATTATCATGTGACCTTCCAGCGTCAGTTGCGTCGCTTCACTGCCATTCACAAATTCTCTCCCATGGCCTCATGTGATAGTAAAGTGTCCATCGTATGCACACTTCAGAATCTTGCCGGAAGTACTTGGTCATGCGGGTGCATTTTGCTTACTCGTTTATGTGTACTGTAAATTCGGACATAATACTTTTGTCACATACCGGTACTTTTTTCGCCTACTATATAGTAAAGAAGTATGCGATTTTGGATGCAGCTAATGACTCACTCATTAACAGTGACTTGCTGCCACCTACAGGTGGTTTTAATTTCACATTTAAAGTATCTTTTATTTTTTTTTAAATAATTTCAGATATCAGTATTCAACGTTTTATGTTTAAAACATCAAAACCTTATTTATGCATTTGGAACTGCAGGTTAAATGCATTCATGTCCCCTCTGAGCTGCAACAGTCTGTGTAAATGCATCTTAAAGGGATAGTTCACCCATGAATGGATGCGCTTTGATTGACTTCCTAAGACATACACTCTCATTATAAAGCTTGGAAGAGCCAGGACATATAAGTCCGATTGTATTCGTCTGAAAGAAGAATGTCATATACACCAAGGGTGGCTTCAGGGTGAGTAAATCATGGGCTAATTTTCATTTTGGGTGAACTATCCCTTTAATGTCACTTCAGATGCAACTTCTGTTTCCTCTGCATTGCAAAGAGGAATTTTGTTGATACTGATTTCATCTGATTGGTACCAGCCCTATTGTGTCTCATAACTCTAATTGAATTTATTGATTAAATGTAATAATTTGACAAAGGATGACGTGTACATTTAAATAGGTTAAAACAAATGTCTTTATTATGGTAAAAATGCCCATAAAAGGTACAAATCAATTTAAAAATAAAAGATAATTTCTGTCACTGCTGCGAACGGACCACCACACAGAATATGAGGAATATCAAACACTTTAGGAGTCAGCTGTCCACGGCAGTCCTAAACCTGACAACGAACCAACACAAAAAACACACTAAGCAAAATAGTGCCTAATTAACGCTATCGATAAAATCCCAGAAAAAATGTACTCGAATATAATTTTTTTTGTCAATATCGCAGGTGGTGCTGTTCTTCCTCTTTACTGGCCCCTGTACCACTCACAATGGCATCATCCACTAAAAATAGTTGTGCTGCATTCAGATTTAATCAGATACAGTTGTTCACTGTGCTCACAACATCATTCCCTGCATATTAGATTTAAGTGTCTTGCTCAGCCTGCTAAGGGTTCTTTTCTGTTCAGTGTCCTTGAACTTTATTTTTTTTAACTGAATCATATTTTAGTACGTTTAGTCTTTAGTTTGAAATTTAGTGTTAACCGTGTAAGAAACTAAGATCAAATAAAGAATAAAAACAATAAGTCTGAAAATACATAAAACATGTTTGTATAAATTGTTTTTAAAACCATTTTTGTATAAATTGTTGCATTGAATTGAATCTGACATTACACAAATTAATTTACACAAATACTTTTACTGGTTGTGTTTCTTTAATGAGGCCTAATATCTCCATTAGGATAATTATTTTTCATCTATTTTTGTTCACTGCTAGCGTTTATATTGTCTCATTACCCTTTTCGCCTGAAAAGGGTGTTGTTGGTTTTCCTTTTTATGGTATAAAATCCTGGGAATACTTTACAGTAAGGTTCTGGATGTCTAACATTAGTAAATGCTAACATGAACTTACAATGACCAGTACTTTTACAGCATTTATTAATATTTCTACATCAACTACCATTTCAAAAGTTCATTCAAAAACGGTTTTCAACACAGATAATAATAATACATGTTTCTTGAGCAGCAAATTAGCATATTGGAATGATTTCTGGAGGATCATGTGACACTAACATATATTTTCAATTTAAATAATATTTCAGAATTTCATGTTTTTACTGTATTTTTGATCAATTAAATGTAGCCCTGGTGACCATAAGAGGCTTTTTTAAAAAATAAAATAAACTTACCAACCCTTAACATTTTAACATAGTGTATATTAATTTAGTTTTTACACTTCAGTTTGTATAAAGCAAAATTAATGTATTATAAACAAACAATGACACCAATGAAAAAATTATATATTTATAAATTAACATTAACCTAAATTATCTTTATTAACTTTATGATTCCTAATGCGTGAACTAATACTAATGAACTGAACTGTATTTTAAAGTGATACCAGCATACTTCGTGACACACAATTTTAGCTTTAGTCAAAGCGGTCATAACCCTGTTGTCTGTAAAAGGATGTTGATAGCCACCCCTCAGCATCTCTACTGTATTTGGCATGCTCTAGCAGGAGGAGCTCTCTTCAAGAGGAGGTGCTATTTTTGTCAGTGACACCAACCAAATGCCACTCGAGTTTGCTTCTGCATGCCTTACGTACGAGGGATAATGCCCACACACACACGGTCACATGTTGTACCTTCTTCCACTGCCTCTTAAGAACAGACAAGTCCTCCTAACCCTTCTCCCACTTATCAGTCAAATGCTAAACGAGAAACAGTGTCAGGGGAATGGATATTTTTAACTCCAGATACACGGCCCTCTCAAGCGCTTTCCGAGGTTTCCGAGGTGCCTTATTTGGAATGCGAGCTAGAAAAAGAGATTCAAGGTGTCTGAAGAAGATCAAGGCTGATTATGAAGCTACACCTTCAATTTGTAGACATGAAGAAAGCAGTCTGAAAAGACCATCTATATGATTTCCTGCACTTTTTCTGTCCTTTGGCCAAGGTTGTGTGAACACGAGGAGGACGACATTAGTCGGGGCGTGTGATGTACGGCTCATCGTGGTGGAGCGTCTGTTTCCCTCACCTTACTTTTACTTCTGTTCTGACATGCCGAGGACCCCCTTAAACTCCTGAAGGATCCGGAAAATGTTTACTGTCCCCCTCGGGCCCAGGCAAAGACATCTGTGGTACCCAAAACCCTGAGGGTAGTTAAAAGATCTGGCTCTTGCCCCTGAGAATACTGCACTGAGCCCCGTCTTTTCCTTTTCCGTATGTAGATGTTGTGTAGAGAAGAGTTTATATTATCACCGTGGAGCATGTTTCATGGTTGCAGTACTACTACATATTCATAAATGACTATATACAGCATATATATATAGCTGTATCACTGCTCTGTGGCACGCACCTGTAATTATTATCAATGATGTGCATCATCTCGCTTTTAATTAGCTTTATTTTTTTCCATTATTGTTAGGATGTTTTAGGATAGGATACCAGAAAGTGGTTTTTGACATTTGTCAAGAAGTTTTTGTTCTTGTATTGTAATTTACTTTCAAAATGTCAGCCAACGCCCACTTGCCTTCATATCACACTGTAATATATTGTCAGTATGGACAGCTTCAATATCAGTGTTACATGCTCTATATTTATAAAGCATCCCTGTGCTGCATTGCCATTTTAGGTGTTTGTTGAAATGATACTGACGTATTTAAAGTGATTCTTTTTTCCTTTTTTGGAGAATTTCTTTTTTTATTATTTTGCTTTCTAAATCTACTTTTTCCATGTTCTTCTATACATTTTAAATGGACGTATCTTAAATAAGCTTGCATCGAAAATGAATGCTAAATCATTGTGGATCCCACTTCACATTGCTTGTCATTATGTCTTTATATCAATCATTTTATGTTTGTAAAAATGGCAATTTGTTAAAATGAGGCAGATTGCCATGTCTTGTTTATCAATGCATTGAATGGTAGTTCCTCGTTTTTTCATTAATGCTGCTTCTTCACTTTACATGAACCTCAAATGTGTCAGGTAATTCTGTAGTACTGCTCTAAGATGTGATTCAAAACTCACCTAATCAAAAGTATGATTTAGCTGCTGAATGTAAAATCAGTGTTTGTAAAATCAATGTAGTTTGTGTAAAACTTCCAATCCTATTTTGCTGGACAGTAAAGTTTTCTTTAAAAAAAAAAAAAAAAGTCATTAAAGAGTTTAATTAAAGTGAATAAGGAAGATAAAGCCAAATATTGTAACTGATCCTTGGCTCTGACACATGGATAAGGTCTTGGCAAGCTTGCAGAATCCCGATGTCCAGGGACAGCATGCTCTAATGAGTTGGTGATATAATAAATTTGCTTTGTGCATAGTAGTGAGAAAAGTTTCGTATATTAATGGCAGGCCTGTGTAAGAAGTATCCTTAACTACAAACAAATACTTTCACATCCATTATATGCTTATGTAAAGTTTTATACTTTATTTTGTACTTTTACATACCAATAACTCCCTCTAAACAGCAGCCTGTTAAAAATTAAGTCTGAAAACAAAACAAAAATCCCATCACTATTAGTGACCTATTCATGTGGTGAAATAGCACTGTAAATGTTACACATTTAAACATCATTAACATTATGGCTTCAATACTTTTACACTAAAACAATACTATTCACATAATACATGCTAGAATGGACTATAAAATGTGATGGTGGAAAAAAAATACCTGTACATTTGTTCATACAATACATGCATTCTTCCATTAAAGATGATGAACTAATTATTATAACTACTGAATTTATAATCAGTTTAATTATCCTTATATAAATAGTGTACAAATATCCCACTCTCATTATTCCTCAAAAAATAAATTACATAAAATACAACACGAAATACCTGAGTGCTACTAAAAACCAAATAACATCACACTGAATGAAAGTTATTCTTGATGAAGAACAGCTGGAATGGCTTTGATGTGTATGATCTCATTCAAAAATGATTTGTCATTTTGCTGTGTTTCATGCTTTATATACCAGTGACTTTTTACACTTTATTTACAACATAATACACATGGAACGCACCATTAGAGTGAATGTACAAGTAAAATCTAATTTGGCTCATATCAAAGAAAACAGATATTAATATAATGGAAATATTATTTAAGTAAGTGCTTTCTGATTTCTGAAAAATACAAAACAGATTTCTTTACATTAAGCCTAATTGTTAATCAATATAAACAATGGAGAAAATACACGACATTACAACACATCACATTATATGTCTCTAATTGTCTGACAATTACTGAACACTTTCAAGTAATTGTTTGGCTGAGAGTGTAAAGAGACACTGGTAAATCTCATGGCCTGTAAATCTACGCAACCTACAAAATCAAAAAGGCATGTGATTGTTTGACAGTTTGCCCTGCAGCATCAATGGATTGTGTTTTCATGTTTGATACGTATGTACCAGTAAATGCAACATATCCATTGTGTAAATAAACCCCTAAAAACCCTCGAGTTTAATTCCTTGTGACCCATCTGGAAGAAGGCAAGTGAACTGGACAGATGCTCCAGTCATTACGTGGAGTGTTTTGGGTTGTTTAGCCTGAGAGGTTTATACAGTCACAGACATTTTTAAAGGATTTCTGAAAGCAATACTACCGAGACCGAGCAGAAAAGCAGCGCATGTACTCTGTCATCCAGGGGTTGAAATCAGGGACAATCTTATTTCCGTTCTTTTCGAAGTCAGCAGATCTGGCTCTTTGTTGGTCAGATTTCTTCATCTGTTTTTCCACCTCCCGTCTGGTTTTTGCTCGCAACGCTGACTCATGGATCTAGACAGAAGAAAGGCTGCATGAAGTAGGCATGAAAAATGATAAACAGATGAGTACTTGAAGGGTTAGTTTGCCCACAGATGAACATTCTATCATTTACTCACAAAACAACATTGACTTTGATGGACAAAGGTCATTTGAAACATTCTTCAAAGTAGTAGTAATATAATGACAGAATTTTCATCCCTTTAAAGTTGGCATGAAATGGAAGTTGAGAGAGTCTTTTCTTCTCTATTGGGACGTATATCTGAGTGAAACTGCTTCTCAAACAAGAAAAAAAGTGTTTTGATTTTGTCCACCGTGAAATTGATTGATGGTGACCTTAAAGTTGCAACAATCCAAGAGAGAAAGAGTAATTGTTCATTTCAATTTATAAGGAATATTTATATTAACCAAACTGTAATATTTGTTTTATTCTAGTAGTCTTTTTTTCAGAAGTTTGCTTACTGGTCAAGAGCCTCTTATGATATGATATGCTCCCTGAAAGGATACTCACCTCTGCGGTTGATGTTGCAGGTCCAACATTATGGGTTTTCTTAGAAGCCATATCTGTCCGCCTCTCTCCTGAGCCATACAGGGCAAAAGGGTGACGGTTCTCTTTGTCAGGGTCTTTGGTGACATGAGGCTTGACCTTTGATCTTGTATGCTTGTGTGAAGACCGGCGTTTGCTCTTTGGTGTATTCAGGATATTCGTGTCAGTTTCTGGGTTGAGAGCAGGAACGCGTTCTCTGGCATTCTCTTCCTCCCCTTCTTGATGACGCTGCTCAGCAACTATGGTAACTAGCTCTGATGAGAAAACACAGAAAAAGTGTTTGGAGTCATTTTAATCAAGTACCACAGATTAGTGTGTCTTTATTACTTGGCATTAAGTTTTCCATGGTTAAACGTTACTTTGAAAATTATGCTAAATTGTGCTTATGTAAATATTTCACTACGCCTACGGTAAAGTTATTTACTGTAAAAAAGGTTTTAGCATCAGCATCTTAAAATTATAAACAAATCAGTAAAGTTTATCTCTTTATGTCATAATTTACAAAGAATTTATGACACATATGTAGCTGTTTATAGCTATAAATCAATAAAAAACGTATATAAAACATTTGATAATATAATCATATAATTTATTACTACTATAAATATGGATGTTTAATGAAAAATAGAAACCTATTTTTCTGACACATTTTTTTTTTTACAACAGTCAGTGTCAGTATAAATCCTTAACACTGAGTTGCATACTGCAGAATGTGAGACTTATGAACATTGATAACTTATGAACTAGTTATTCTAGTATTATGTATACACTATTACAGTATTTATTAATATTTCAAATTAGCTTTTATTTTTATATTTTCGTTTTATTTTAAATTTGAGTAATTTTGCTTTTGTCATTTTTTTTTTTTTTTTTATATATTTATATTTATTTTATAGGCGATTTTCATTCAAGTTTAAGTTTTAATCTAATATTTAGATTTTGTTTTAATTAACGAAGATGTAGATTTAGTTTTAGATTACAACAACAACACTCGAACACACAAACTATTTTAGTAAATACTATAAAAGAAAAACAACATAAGATGACAACCTGTAACGTTAGCTCGATCAGGAGGACTTACTGGTGTCTGCAGTGTCCTGAACTTCTGCGTGTGGTTCTGGTGTCACACATGCAGATTGTTTTGGTTTCTCATCGTGGATCCTAAGAGGTTCGACTTTATTCCGACTTAGAGGAGTAGATTTGCCACTGGAGCCTGTCTCGCTTCCCCATTCTCCCCAAAACCAAGGGTTGTGCGCTTGCTCCAACAGCCGCCTTGATATGGCGTTATTATCCTGTCCAATGTCGAGAGCGCATTATTGTAGCGCGAAAGTACATTAATATTATGCGCGAGCGTGAATCTCTCTGCTCGCGCGCGGAATATGATGTGCCGAGCGTGAATCCCTCTGCTCGCGCGCGGAATATGATATGCACAGCGCGAATCTCTCTGCTCGCGCGCGGGAACTGGGCGCGCGCTCTCAGATACACTTCTCTTGTAAGAATTCTCTCTCTGGGCTGAGTGAGCTCGCTGCCTCGCTCAGAGAATATGCCTGCACTTAAAACGTGTTCAGTGCAATCGCGAATTGCTCCTCTTCCCCAGCTAACAATTTTAGGTTATAAGAACGTTTTCATAACGTTCCCATTAAGTTATAAAAACCTTATTTCTGAATGTTCTAGGGAATTTCAAAAAGTCCAGTTTTTTAGACGTTGTATTAACGTTATTTCTTGGTTATAAAAAAAGTTCAATTCTCCCGTAATGTAAACGTTGTATTAATGTTATTTCCTGGTTATAATAACGTTAGAACGTTCAATTCTCCCTTTATATAAACGTTGTATTAACGTTCTTGTTTGGTTATAAGAACGTTATTCAAACGTTCAATTCTCCCATTATATAAACCTTCTCTTAATGTTTTTCTAAGATAATGAAAAACGTTTCATTCAATAAAAAAAAACATTAAGAAATGTTTTAATAATTATTAAAACCTTTCTTAATGTTTTTTATATAACAAGGTAGCCTATATAATAGGCCTAGCCTATATGAAGAACCTAAAATAAAATAAAAAAAAAGACCCATGAATCATGTCTATAATATGTGTAATGTAGCCTACTCCACTGAAGTCGAGTTGAATTGAACCCAAGTAGGCCTATAGTTTATTCCAGTAAACCGATTTAGGTTGAAGTGACCATATGAAATTAACATGAACATAAACTTGGACTAAACATAGAATCACCAACAATGGTACAGGGAACAAAGCTAGACAAGAGACAATGGGAACACAAGGACAAGGATTATGACTAAAAACAACCAATGACATCCACAAGTTAAAGTTAATTTAATTTATATAGCTCATTTTTACAACAATTTCCAAGTTTATGTTTATGTTAATTTCATATGGTCACTTCAACCCAAATCGGTTTATTGGAATAAACTATAGGCCTACTTGGGTTCAATTCAACTCGACTTCAGTGGACTACATTACACATATTATAGACATGATTCATGGGTCTTTTTTATTTATTTTTGTCTTAATTTTAAAATCTGAAAGTTCTTGTTTTAGGTTCTTCATATAGGCCTATTATATAGGCTACCTTGTTATGAATGAAACGTTTTTCATTATCTTAGAAAAACATTAAGAGAACGTTTATATAATGGGAGAATTGAACGTTTGAATAACTTCTTATAACCAAGCAAGAACGTTAATACAACGTTTATATAAAGGGAGAATTGAACGTTCTAACGTTATTATAACCAGGAAAAAACATTAATACAACGTTTACATAACGGGAGAATTGAACGGTCTTATAACCAAGATATAACGTTAATACAACGTCTAAAAAACTGGACTTTTTGAAATTCCCTAGAACATTTAGAAATAACGTTTTTATAACTTAATGGGAACGTTATGAAAACGTTCTTATAACCTAAAATTGTTAGCTGGGGAAGAGGAGCAATTCGCGATTGCACTGAACACGTTTTAAGTGCAGGCATATTCTCTGAGCGAGGCAGCGAGCTCACTCAGCCCAGAGAGAGAATTCTTACAAGAGAAGTGTATCTGAGAGCGCGCGCCCAGTTCCCGCGCGCAAGCAGAGAGATTCGCGCTGTGCATATCATATTCCGCGCGCGAGCAGGGGGATTCACGCTCGGCACATCATATTCCGCGCGCGAGCAGAGAGATTCACGCTCGCGCATAATATTAATGTACTTTCGCGCTACAATAATGCGCTCTCGACATTGGACAGGATAATAACGCCATACCTTGACAGTCTGTAGTTCAGCAAATCCTCATAACATTTCGCGTAGGTGTCCCATCTCGGATCTTTAAATTTCTTCATGTATTCAGACCTAATTCTCTTCGTCACCATATTTAACTAGAGAGAAACATATAAAGGTGACATTACAGCGCAGTAACAGTCTGTTGAAAAGCAATTATGCAATTCTATTCCGAATCAGCCCTCTTCTCGCGCCAGACTTTTAAACCAAATTACTATGGCAACAGAGTTCAAATACGCAAGCGAAAGCCAATCGCTGAGTTTCTCTCTTCGATACGCCCCCTTCGTGTACACACCTACTTAACTATGGCGTCATCTCGGAGCTCTCTGAACCTCTTAACGCATTTGCATATTAGGGTTCATAAGGTGACGATAAACATGAATGCTGACTTCAGTTATACAGTTCGCTAATCTAAAACACACGAATAAAGGGAAGACATTAGTACATTTTATACGTAGCATATATAATGTGCTGCCATCGACAGTGCGACTGTACAGAGAAACGAAAGCCTTTCTTTATACTGTAAGTAGTCAACGTTAAATATCAGCGTTTGGCACAATGCATATCTAAATGCAATCAAACGTTGTGCGGTATAGTAATTAAAATAGAGGTTAAAGCTGCATTATACGTCGACTAATAATGTTTAAAGCGCGTGTCATGTGACCGCAATGAGCGGAAGCAAGTTGAATGAAGATTTATGCCATAAAAACCTGTCAATAGTAACAAGAGCCGTGTTTTGATATTGTATTTACTTACCGTTTTGATTAAGGCAGGGTCGAGAAGGTAAACAGATGGCGCTTGTAGCCTGCAGACGTCAACCTTGCTTTGTAAAACACGGCTATAGCTCCGCCCTGTGGTGAAGGCGCTGGAAATCACTCGAAGGAATCAACAGGTGTTGTTCTCTACGGTTATAACTTGACCTCCCAGAGGAGGTGTTTGGGGTCTTAAAAGTATTGATTTTTATATACTTGTTGTTGCTTATAACCTTTGAACAGCGTTTTAAACGACCACAAAACACGTTACACTGCGATAAGTATACTCACGTGAACATTTGTGCCAGAAAGTAGCCGTACTGTCATTATTTATCGCGTTCTATTCACACATAACATATGGACGATGGTGCTTGTCTGGAAAAACCAGACCAGGGGGCTGTTCCATAAACCAAGATTAGAGTATAAGCCAGGCTTATTTCGGTTAGTCAGGCTTATTTTTGGTAGATTCGGTTTCATAAATCAAACTTAAAATAGTTCAAACTCAGTTACCCTGGCAACTTATGCTGGGAAACTAGCCTGGTCCAGGGCAGGCTAACTGTCAGGCTAAGCCTCAGTTGTTACACAGATCCTCAACACTGACCGACAAGAACACAATGATATTACCACTGACAGTCTCTAATACCATTATTGGACTTTATAAATACACAGTATACAGAAAATCAACTTAAATAAGGCTACAATAGACAATATATAAGGCGTTTTAAAGTTGTCCGTTTAGGACATGTCATTTTTGTAATAAAGACATTTTAATTAAGGAATGCCTCGGTTATCAGAGAATTCTTTTTTCTGCACTGTCTCTTATATATATATATATATATATATATATATTTTTTTTATGTACTTTATTATGTCTTTCAATTCAAACACATTTAACACAATTATACAAATGGACAGTTCCTTTAAAGACATCATATTTTCCCCCAATAAATATTCCTTATTTTTCCTTCTACTTTTTTTTTTCTTTTGTGATAATACCAACACATACATATAAATAAAACAATAAATAAATATTAATAAAATATAACATTCACATATATCAAACTCTTATAATGAATGACACATAATTCCTAATAGTTATTCAAGTAATATTATTTAAATATCAAATATTCAATATTAAATAAGTAAATAAATAAAATAACAAATAACTAGAAATAAAAGGGAAGGTTACATAAAAATGTATAGTTAATGTAGGCCAATATATATTCCTTTATTTTATGGAATATTCTTTGATTTTAGAGTTGCACATATCTTTTCAAAATGTATACATTTGTTCTTAATTTAATGTTATCCTCTCCATAATGTACTTTAGAAACTAAATCTAACCACTCATTTAAAGCTGGGGATTCTTGCTTTCTCAAAAAAATGATTGTATTAAAAGCTGTACTTCTCAGCATTCTAAATAAGTATATATCATCTTTATAAAGTAGCATAGGTCCTATACCCAAAACTATATTTTGTATCTTTATATATTTAGTTTCTTAAAAAAAATCTTCCCTGAATTAGGCTACTTCTGTTCAATTTCTTTTTTTTATTAGAAGTAGGCTATAAAATATATGAGTGTAATGAGCTAGAAGTTCACTGCAACTTATCCAACATCCTAAAGAGAAATTATTATAATTAGAAGATATTTCTAGTGTTAGAAAATATCTCATATTAATTTTCCAAGCAAAATGTATATTTTAGTCAGAATTATTGCGCTCCTATTTGGCGCGCATGCGCGCAGCAGCGCTCGTTCAATATGAAGATTAGCAGCAAAATGGATACATTTGCACGACTTTCTAACATTTACAGATGGAGAATATAACTGTAAAATGTAATTTTTGCACTGAAGGGGGAAAAAAAACATGTCACAAACGCATAAAACAGCACAAAATATACGCTGATTGATGGTGGATCGATTTGATCCACGATCGACCTCTATGGCTGCTTCAGAAACGCGTGCACACGCAATTATCTAGACTAGATAAACCTGGATCAAATTAATGAGATTGCGTGAACTTCAATTACCTTTTATGGAACCACTTTAGCCCCAATTTATTTGTTAGGCTCATTCAAGTCCGGTTTTGGAGTTTAATCCCCGCTTTTCTAAGCTTCATTTATGGAACAGCCCCCTGACCTCAAAAACCTCCTATAAAAACAATCACCTTTTGACCTCAAGGATTTTGAATCAGGCACATTTTAGTTTTAGGATTTGTGACTCATTCATGGCAAATTGAAATCTGAAATGTGATTGAAAACGTTTTTTTTTTTAAGTGTAATTATTTATTCTCTTTGATGGAATTGGTGAGGATCCCACCCTGGTTCTTCAGGAGGGAAATGTAGCTCATTGCATTCAGGTCAGAAGGAGGTCAACTTTCTCTATTTTCAGGAATATTGGAATAGTTCAATTGACTTTTTGATTTTTGTAAACTTAAATACTTTGTACACAAAGCAAACTGCACTATGAATCTTACTTTATCAGCTAAGCTTCCTGAAAATAATTAGATCATACTTTTTTTGCTTTTCATCAACACTCTAGATCACTAACCCACAGTTTTACAGACAAGTCCCAGACTAAAATGCATGTTTGAGCTGTTAAAACCGACATATCTTACAATATGTCAGTGTCATTTTTTTTTTTGTCTCAAGATGCACACCAATGATGTTTTTTTTTTCTAAGGTACGTTTATAAAAGCTACTTAAATGACCTAATTTTACCAAAAGCCTAATCCTGGCTTAATCTAAGCCCTGTCTGTAAAACCGGGCCTAAATTTCCAGTTTCAAGTCAAACAATTTATTAACACAAACGTGTCACATAAACCAAATAATGGACTTTAATAAATTAATGACTATTTATGTACAGATTACAGTCTTGTGATAGACAACATGGTATAACGGTTTTCTGGATCTTGATTGTGTCTCTTTGGACAATGCTGGGGCCTGCCTCATCGTGTTCCTGCTTGGTAATCCAGGGTATGTAACACATGGGTACAAAATAAATCTGTACCAAAGCTGGCCTATAATGATGAATGTCCAGTATTCTCTATTATTGCGTGATCCACAGCAAACAGATGCAGATGATGGATTTAGAAGCACTTGCGGTGGACAATGCTGGGGCCTGCCTCATCGTATTCCTGCTTGGTGATCCACATCTGCTGGAAGGTGGACAGGGAAGCCAGGATGGAGCCACCGATCCATACAGAGTATTTGCGCTCAGGTGGGGCAATGATCTGTCAGAATGAGGAGACACATGAGCATGTCAGTGATGCATATTGCTCTATCAATAGGGAACAGGAGCATGTTAGAAGATAACCACAGATGCATTACAGTACCTTAATCTTCATTGTGCTGGGGGCCAGTGCGGTGATCTCCTTCTGCATACGGTCAGCAATACCTGGGTACATGGTGGTACCACCTGACAAGACATTGTTGGCATACAGATCCTTCCTGATGTCAATGTCGCACTTCATGATGCTGTTGTAGGCGGTCTCATGGATTCCAGCAGACTCCATACCTGTCCAGAAACACCTTATTAATCAAACTAAAAGCTGTATGGAAAAACGCAGCATTTTTAATAGTGTTTGTTTTTACGCACCAATGAAAGAAGGCTGGAAGAGGGTCTCTGGGCAACGGAAACGCTCATTGCCAATGGTGATGACCTGGCCGTCGGGCAACTCGTAGCTTTTCTCCAGGGAAGAGGAAGAGGCGGCAGTGGCCATCTCATTCTCAAAGTCCAGAGCCACGTAGCACAGCTTCTCCTTGATGTCACGGACAATCTCACGCTCAGCTGTAAACGGAGTGTATAAGTAAGTCAGTTGTTTTCAACATAACATAACAAAACAAACCAAAAATTGTATAGGAAAAGTTTGGGGTAGGTCTGAATTTTTGAAAAAAGTCTCTTATGCTCACCAAGGCTGCATGTATTTAATCAAAACAAAACAAACAGTAACATTTTTGAATATTACTACAATTTAAAATAAGTTTTGTTTTTTTAAAAGCTGAAAAAGCCTAAAGCTGATTGTCATTACTCCAGTCTTCACTTCAGTCAAATGAAATCATTCTAAATCATGCTAATTAGGTGTTCAAGAAAATTTTCTTCGTAATATTATCAATGTTGAAAACCGTCGTGCTGCTTAATATTTTTGTGAAAACTGATACTTTTTTCAGGTTCAAAACTTTAAAATTCGAAAGAAAACCATTTATTTCAAATAGAAATGTTTTGTAACATTTTTAAAGTATTTACTGTCATTTTTGATTAATTGAATGCGTTCTTGCTTAATAAAAGTATTAATTTCTTTTAAAAAAACTGTATGGTAGTAAAAACGGTAGTGTATATCCAACAATGACTTACATGATATATTAAAAACAAAACTTTGGCCAATAACCATTATGGTGCTAAAATATTGTGCATCCTTCAACAAATGCAACAAATATGAGTTGAAAGACACATTTGAAAAGAAATTCAATGAGTTGTTGTGACAAATCTTATATAAACAGAAGAAAACAACACAGGAATGATTGTGAAATTGAAAAAATTCATTTTCCTACCAGTTGTGACGAAAGAATATCCACGCTCGGTCAGGATCTTCATGAGGTAGTCGGTCAGATCGCGACCAGCCAAATCCAGACGCATGATGGCGTGGGGCAGAGCATAACCCTCATAGATGGGGACATTGTGGGACACACCATCACCAGAGTCCAGCACAATACCTTAAATATAGAAAAACAGGTCAGAAAAGACTTATAAATTAGCACATTTTTTGCAGATATGTAAAACTGCACGTTAGATTAACGTAAAACTGGACGTTCTTCAAAATATATGATTAGTGGGAGTGTTAGGTGTTAACATAATTGCCTCACCAGTGGTACGGCCAGAAGCGTACAGGGACAGCACAGCCTGAATGGCCACATACATGGCTGGGACGTTGAAGGTCTCGAACATGATCTGGGTCATCTTCTCACGGTTAGCCTTGGGGTTAAGAGGAGCTTCAGTCAGAAGAGTTGGGTGCTCCTCAGGGGCCACGCGGAGCTCGTTGTAGAAGGTATGGTGCCAGATCTTCTCCATATCATCCCAGTTGGTTATGATACCGTGCTCGATGGGGTACTTCAAAGTGAGGATACCTCTCTTGCTCTGAGCTTCATCTCCTACGTATGAGTCCTTCTGACCCATACCCACCATGACACCCTGGAAGAAGAAAAAGGGAATTTTTAATGTCGCAAATGTTACAATAGCTAAAGCTTGTTAATTATTTTAAAAATGGCGAAATGCAACATACCTGGTGACGGGGGCGACCAACAATGGAGGGGAAGACAGCTCTGGGGGCGTCATCACCAGCAAATCCAGCCTTGACCAGGCCTGAACCGTTGTCGCACACCAGGGCGGTGGTCTCTTCGTCGTCACACATCTTGATGGATTCTAATGAGGGACATAACAAAACACTCTCATGGCAAATTGTAACTATACGTTGTGGTGAATAATTCATATGAATTCGTATGATCTGATTTGCACGTTTTTGTACGCTCTGCTTACCCCCCCCACTGATGGTTAAGTTTAGGGGTAGACCTTCATGCTTACTCTTTTCAAAAAATTCACATTGTATGAATTCCTACGAAACCACCTTGAAAAATAGTTGCGTGTTCTCGGATTGAACATTGAGAAATATTGGATTGGGTGCAGCCTTGTGCAAAAAGTTAAATCGAATTAAGTGATTCTACAGCAATGCATGCATAAGTTATATACACATACAAAAATGATTTTTTATCATTATAACACTTTGTTTCCATCCATTTAAATTGTCATAATATTTTCTGTCCTTTGTACTTGAGTTTTATAAGTCAGTTTCATGACTCAGACTCATCTTATAAGTCTTTGTTTTTAACTTAATTTTATTAATCAGTAATGAAATTCCAAGTGGTTAAAAAGTGATGATCCAGTGATTACTGCAGGTTGTAACTTGGCAGCAATTAAAATGAAATTAAGTTTATTTGACTTTTTTTAGTGCACAACAAGTGCCGTAGAAATGGAAACATTAATGAATAAATCAACTAGTAATAAAGTAATATTATTAGTTATGACCTTTTGTCATAAATATAACTTAATCTTTTTATAATAGTAATATTTTTAAATACATCTTCATTTTCTAATATATGATTCTTACATGCTGTCACGTCAAGTATATGAATGACAAATCAAAATATACAAATCATTATAAATGCATTCAATGATTAATTTATGAAAACGTAATTATGCAATTTTCTTTATGCTCGATCAGTTTATAACTTATTGCAAACCCTTTAGCTATATCTCGTAGACGTTAGTTGCCTTTAAAAGTTTTTCTGTTAGTCCGCGTGACTACACTAGTAGCGCATAAAACCTTTTCTCTTACCTTTCTCTGATGAAGCTCAGTGCTGAACACAACCGCTGATGGATCCAGTCACGGACTGACTGACCCATGAAAACCTTATATACTCTTCGTGTTTGTCCCCATGCGCACTATTGAGGATATGTGTATGTTCAGTTGGAGCTTTTCCCCATCCTTCAACCATATTAGGCTTTTGCAGGGCAAGCGAGGGGTGACTTCCTAGTGAAGCGGCGTGTCTCCCGCTATCCCTAGGTTCGTAGTGAGCATGACTGTCCTTCTATGGTTTGATAGTCATCATTCCAGACCACAGCATGAGCTGTATATGGTGTGGGGGCGGTGTTTATGTTGCTACTAGCCATTTCCCACACTGTCAATTGTAAGATACGTTTAGAGATTTGTGCACACTGCACAGCCAATATTTGATCTCATTATTCTCATATACTTTGCTGACGTGAATATTGGTAACTAAACAGTTGAGAGTAGTCATTGACTTCCATGTTATAATTTGTTTCCTAAATGCAAGTCAATGACAACTGTCAACTGTTTAATCACCAACATTCTTCAAAATATCTTCTTTTGTGTTCAACGCAAGAAAGAAACTTATACAGGTTTGGAACAACTTGAGGGTAAGTGAAGTCAAAATTTTAAAAAAAATTAGGGGGCTTTAATGTGCTAATAGCCTGCCTATTAGCACATGCCTGTGCTATTTTGCTTTTTATGTAAACCTTGTTATAATAAATATAGATATATTGTTATAAGATATATAGCTATATTTGCTGGAAAACAAGACAAAAAAAAATCATTATGATTCCTGGTGATGATTTCTTTTTCCAGTGCAGGGAGGTGTGTGGCTGCTCTGCATGCTTTACTCAAGAGGCCCGTCTCTGCAAGCAGATACCCTGCCATAGTTGGCCTTAGAGCTTATGTTGAGCGAGTCGACGAAGAGAGCCGCCACAGTCACTGAGGGTAAGCAGCTTACAACACAGCCTGCCTGAGCTACAACCTCCCTGCTTGAACTTAATCAGACTTTGTGGTTTAGTTTCTGAGGATAAGAGAGGGGGACAGTGAGGGCAATTAATGAAACCACTTAATCGCTGAGGTGTAGTAGTAGAGTTGCTTACTAAAGGAGTGACCATAACCATTTTGGAGACTGAACAGTCTCTTGCATCATCCATCATTTTCCATAGTAGATCCCCCTTTTTACTTAACCCACTTTTGCTGACACTCTTGGTTTCAAGATTAGCTTGTAATTTATTTTCAAGGGTAAACAGCACGCTCTTTTGGTAACTCAAGTTGTTTAACTGTTCTCGATGACATGGCATGTGGACAGGGCAGTGTTGTAAGTAATGTTTCAATGTAATTTCAATGTTTCAATGTAATTTATTAAGAGTGCAGATAAAACAATAGAAAATAAAAAAAACAACAGTCAAACATACACATTTCACTAACTGAAACCTAATAAGTTACCACAAGAAATATTAAAATCTTCTAAAATTCTGAATAGATTTAATCTTGTCCTAATGCTACATATATAAATATATATATATATTGTATGCAAGTAAAAATCTCTCTTATAGTGTCTACTTTCAAGTACAACCGAGACAATAATATATATCCTTTTTTCTTTTACAATGGTTTTAACAGGTGCTCCTTCTAAAACAGTATCTTCATTACTGACAAAAATTTGAAGTTGGATTTCATCCCAGTAAAAGCTTTGAGGTTTATGATTTAGGCACGATACATTGACATCTGTGTCATTAACAAAGGCGATAAGAATAGACAGAAGCACCAATGTTTCTGTAATTCCCCTACCCCGAAAAAAAACCCTTCATTATCTATTACCTGTAAAACATAAGCAGAATTAATTTGTGTAAATTGTTCATAAATCATTCTTGTGTAAATTTTCCTATTGAATCAAATGCAATTCACTTTTTAAAGTTTTTTTAAAAATGTTTTTCTGTCTCCTTTACACAGAAATGAGTTCTGCTCATGTATCATGAATAAGGCCCTATGTACACTTCAATAAGCTGATTATCACCTGATTCTTAATAAATGACTGACATGATTTATTACAAGTAATAGTAGCATCAAGTAACTTGGTCTCATATTTCAAATCTACCTCATATCCCTTTCAAGCTTTTCCATTCAAATGTATTACTGTTTTTCTTGGGCTATGAAAGCATAAAACAATTTTAAAAGCATTGTATTTCGCAACTCTGACGAGTATTAAATCATGTCCACAGCATGTACGCTGTGACTGTCTGCCATTGTAATTAACAATGATCAGTATACAACTGGTTTCCAGTTACTTGGCAGTTTATGACACTGCAAAAGCTAAATAGCTACATTTCAGTCTTTCAGAGTGCTCAAAAACACAATAAAACATATCAAGAGCATTTAAAGATGTTTGAATGTGTGCACTCTCTTTGTTGTCTTTAAATGACTGTTTCTCCTATTTGTAGAGAGCCTTTTTTTGCTCGGACAGCAGGAAGGCCTGCTTCTCCATCAGCTTGTGGAAGAGCCCCTGGTCATTGGCAAGGAGTTGGGCATGGCTGCCGATCTCCATCACGCGGTGCTGGTCCAGCACAGCCACGGCATCTGCGCTCTGGATGGTGGAGAGACGGTGAGCGATGATCAACACTGTGCGACCGTCCAGCAGCCTCTCTAATGCTTCCTGTACCAGAAACTCATTCTCTGCATCCAGAGCACTGAAACAGAGACCAGGGCAAGTCTTATTTATATTGAACAGATACAGTATATTCTCATCATGACACAAGCCATCAGTGCTTAAGGTTCTGTACAAAATCATGGCAACAAGATCGATATTTAAAGATTGTACATTACAGTACTGACAAACATAATGAAACAAGTTAAAGTGATGATAAAGTCAAGACTTTGAATTGTCCTTCAATGATCCTGAAAGGATGATGTCATGATGATGTTTTTTTGTTTGTTCGTTTTTGTTTTTTGGAGTAGTTCACTATTATTTTAAAAATGGAAAGATATGATTGTAAAAGGATTGACACATCAAGGACACATCTTTTAAAATAATACATTGTTAACTAAAATATGAACTAACATATATACTATATATAGACAAAGAATAAAGACCTGTCTAAAAAGCAAGAGCTAACTAGCTTTTAAAAGTTATAAAAGTTGGAAAAAAATGGTGGCGGGGACAAGCCAAAAAGAGATTATATGACTCATTTAGGAATTTAGAAAATCATAAAAATAAAAAATCTCCACATGTTAAAAATGTTATAATTTTTTACAATTTTTAATTGTTATTAAACTTCTCATTTATCCATCAATTTACATGTTAATTATAAGTTGAAGTAATCAAACAGTATCTCACCTTGTGGCTTCATCCAATAAAAGTATTTTGGGATTCTGTGAAAAGCAACAAATAAGCATGAGATCAAGGTAAACAAAAAAAGATTTAAAATTCAGTCTAATACTAAAGAGGACAGATTACCTTCAGCAAGGCTCGTGCTATGGCGACTCTCTGCTTTTGTCCTCCTGTTCATTCAACAAATCAGTGTAGTTATGCATTAATTGTCAAGTGAATTACAAACAGACAGATTTGTCCCGTCACAAACATGAGTTTTACTGGAGGTTTTTCCTACCTGACAGCAGTACCCCCTTCTCTCCTACCAGTGTATCATAGCCCTTAGGGAAATCCTGGATGAAGTCATGAGCATTGGCTATTTGTGCTGCCCTGTAGATGTCCTCTACTGTGACCTGACTTGGGTCTGTCGCCCCATAAGCGATGTTCTCAGCAATGGAACAAGAAAAAAGAACCGGCTCCTACAAAAAACATATTCACACGCAGAGATTTGTAAAATGGAGGTAGCATATGGTCTAATTCTTTCTTCTGGTGGCTTTTCTTACCTGGCTTACAGTACCAATGTGACTCCTCAGCCAGTAAGGATTCAAGTCTCGTACATCACGGCCATCAACAGTGACCACACCTGCATTTAAATAAAAACTACACATGTTTCTCTGCATTTTTACTGCTGTCATATCTTAGTTATTATTACCTATTATTCCACTATGTTCTTACTTTCAGTTCTCACCTGAATCAGGATCATACAGCCGGAGTAACAAAGACACCAGTGTGGATTTGCCAGAGCCACTGGATCCCACTACTGCCATTACTGACCCCGCCGGCACAGACAAACTTAGATCCTGGAAGATGGGCGAATCCTTTCTCGTTGGGTAAGCAAAACACACATTACGAAACTCCAGTTCTCCTTTAAACTGCTCTGGTTTCAACACAAGCCCCTCTAAAGAAGAAAAAAATCAACAAAAAGATAATTACCTTACTTCCATTCACGTATGAAAAGATAAAGTATTGTGCATTTTAGGCATTATTTAGAAAGGAAATTATAATTACCATTGAGGGGAAATTCTGGCTTTCGGTCCATGAGTTCCCATAGACGAGTCCCAGCACCAAGTCCCTTCATCAACTCAGAATAGAAAGAGCTGAAACCTTAAATTAATCCACAGAAAGTTGTAGAGTACTTTAAAAACTTCTACACAGAACAAAAATTACAGCTAAACAGGTTTCTGCCTATGAATAAGGCCTAGTGTTCCACCGCCACAAGAGCGGTTTTGTTGGGAAATCCCAACAGAACTGTGTTGAAAGAAACCTATTCTTTTCTACATGTTGCACTCTGGCTACAAAAATTATAACGCTTGCCTTGGGACCCAATGACATAAATGAAGTGAATTCTATGTAAACCAGCCCATGAGGAATTTGAAAATTAAGTCTGAATATGGCTGAACTGAACTGAAAAGTTTATCAGAAAATTAATGTATGTTGAGGGACATAAAATACCTTTCCAAAATTTGGGGTCGAAATGATTTTTCAACATTTCTGAAAGAAGTTTCTTATGCTAAAAAACGTTGCATTCATTTTTATCAAAAATACAGTAAAAACAGTAATATTGTGAAATTTAAAATAACTTTTAATAATTTTTTTCATATATTTTAAAATTACATTTATTCCTGTGATGGCAAAGCTGAATTTTCAGCAGCGGTGTCCAGTCTTCGGTGTCACATGATCCTTCAAAAATCATTCTGGTGCTCAAGAAGTTTTTTGTGGAAACAGTGATACTTTGACAAAAAGTAAGGTCAAAAGAACAGCATTTTTAAAACAAAATTTAAATCTTGTGTAAAAATGATTGTGTAAAAAAAATCTTATAAATGTCTTTACTGTCACTTTTGATTAATGCATCCTTGATGAATAAAAGTATTAGTTTCTATAAATAAAACAAATCTTACTGACCCCAAACTTTTGAACAGTAGTGTATATTCATATAGTGTTGCTCTGAGCTAACATCCTCACCTGCGATGCTAATGCCCACCCAGAAGGCATACATTAGGAAAGAAGAGAGCTGCCCAACGGTCATGGCTTCACTGGCCATCAGCAGACCTCCCTTATACAACACACTCAGGATGATGACATTTCCACTCAGTCCCGTCTGCAACAGAAATGAAAACATCAGAGCAGAAGAACTGGACTGGACAGATAATCTTAAACTGCCTTACTGATTAAATACTACTTTTAAGTAAGAAGAATCTCACCACTCCATAGAATCCAGCGGAAAGCACAGCCTCTTTCTTAGCTAGTTCAAAAATATGGTCAACCTTTTCTGAGTACTTCTGCACCTCTGTCAGCTCTTTTCCAAAAGCTCGGACTGTCCGCATGTTGCTGATCCTCTCTTCTGCCAACTAGGAGATGCAGAGCAGCTACAGAGTAAATGGATCCCTTCCCACTTGCTGTCATTACACTTACAATAGAGCAATGAATTCAGCAATCAAATTATTACAGTCCAAAGGCTTAGTTTCAAATCTGCAATAAAGCCCCATTAAAAGGAAACATGACCTCTTACCTGTGTGGCCTCTGCCAATGCATCCTGTGTGCGTCTTGATATGGATCGTAGGAATCTACCGAAAATTACCGCCAGGCAGGCAATAGGAGGAACAACCATCAGCACAAAGGCTGCCAGACTAGGTGACACATATAACTGAGAAAGAGAAAGTTCAAGAGTTGAATTAGTCAGTGATGATAAAAAGAGATGCATTTATGAGTACAAAACAGTACTACACCAGATTCACTGCATTTGTCTGTCTTCTGTTTTGGAAACAGATGAGGAAGTGATGAGTTAAATGTTTTTATATAAAGCAGAATCATGGCGGCTAGTTTCAAATCAGTGCAGTTAAAATGTGATATTCGTAAAGAGAATTAACTGCTAAAATGTCAAACTATCACAAGCGTCTCACCATCATGCCAACCCCGGCCCCCGCCTGGGCGAGGGATCGCAGCCCATCAGACAGGTTGTCAGTGAGGCAGCGTCCAACGATGGCCGTGTCTGCCGAAAGCCGGTTAATGAGCTCACCCGTTCGGGTCTTATCAAAGAATCCCACCTCCTGCTTCAAAATCGAGGAGAAAAGGGTTTCGCGCAAGTTTCGTACAATCTGTTGCCCTGTGAAAGCAGAGAAAGACTTATTAAAGCGCGAGCACAGTAATGGTCAACTCAGTGAATCACATGGAATGATTCTATTTAATGGAGTAAAGAATAAAAAAATAGACGTAAGCATTACAGAACAAATACATTCAATCAATAAAGACGTAGACTACATTTTAAAAGATTGGGGTCGATGAGATGGGGTTTTTTTTGTTGAAAAACAAAACTCTTAGGACTCTTTGGTGAATAGAAAGTTCAAAAGAACCGCATTTATTTGAAATAGATTTTCTAAATATCTTTGCTAATTAAAAGTAAAAATTTCTTTCAAAATAAAAAAAAATCGTATTGACCCTAAACTTTTTGAACGGTAGTCCGTAAGCCACAAAATTCTCTATAAAGCATCTTTGTAAGTTCACGTGGATGCGCGTGGAGACTTCACCTGAGATTTGCATCAGGTAGACACGAGCAGCATTTGCAGCGCCTCCACAGAGGAAGACACCTGTTAGCATGAAACACAGGGAGGTAAGGGAGGCGGTGAAGTCCTCTGTGGGGCTAGAGTAGATGGTGTCTATCACTTGTCCCAGAAAAAATGGTGCAGACATGGTGACAGAGCTTGCGATCACCAGAAAGCTCACGGCAGCTATGAGGAGAGTCAGAAAGTCATTCACAAAGTAAATTATAAGGGACAAACAAAATATCCATTCATTAATCAGGTACAATTAGCAGAAGTTATATTTGCACAAGTGGAATTTGTTGTGGTTGATGATGATTTCCTTTGTTTGACAGTCATTTACAATCTGTTCTTTTTTATATTTTCGATATACAAATTAAGATATTTACAAAATTTACACAGTATACAAATTGATTATTGGTCTATTTTATTTTACAAAATTGTCCTTTTATCTGGATATATCTAGCAAATTCGTTGTAAAGTAATGTATGTTCTTCAAACATGTATGTATCTCTTATTAGTAAATGAAAAGTGCCACAATCTGGTATATTTATCATGGTCAATTTTTTGTAAAGGATGTAAAACTTTACATATGGATTCATCTCAGAAAACTATCAAAACCAATCAAGAGCCTTCGGATGTAACTAAACACAGAACATAAGCATTTGACTTGCCTGTCAGTCTCCATCGCTGAGGATACGCCAGCTGTAGCAACTTATTGACATCTTCTGAGGGTACAGGCAACGTGCTTTCTGAGGTTTTAACCTTACTCTCCTGATTTACCGCAGTCTTTGAGGTTTGTTTGGAGTCTGTAGATGTGCTGTAGAGAGCAACCGTGTGTCTGGAGTGTGTCCACATACTCTTGGGTAAAAATAACCCTCCAGTTTTGAGATAAAAGAGCCTGGACATGTTTCTTCCCTTATACACAGGCAACACAAGGAACTCATATGATCCATTCTTGGACACTTGACTTCTCCACGGTGTTCTTGATGTCCGATTAGGCAAATTATATAATGTATCCGACCGAGAGCAGGTAATGTTACACTGTTGCAGTTTACCGATTGTAAATCTTGTCATTCGCAACATTGTCTCATACATTTGGAGAAAAAGACGAACAAAATGAAGTTTAGGAGTCTCACCTAATCATTATCTGTCGAAACTTACTGTATAAAGTCAGACGGGCAAATCATCGAGCAGTGCTGTAAATGTGGAGTATCTGGACTCACTTTTGACTGCATGACACTTTTGTCAGTAGAAAGACTGACTTATTGTAGGCCGGGGGTCGACGGTTACTGAGGTTTATCTGTTCCTGACAGTTTTCACATCCAGCCCTTGTTTGCGTTATCTTCACACACGCCCAGCACATTCACTGGAAGCGCCCTGTCACAAAAACCTGCTGCACGACATCTGTCCGTCTTTTCTCAACACAACGCCAATGACTGTTCCAGTAACAGAAAAGTGCCATTTGGAGTGTTTTTAAATAAAATAAGAATAAAAAGGTGACCCCGGTGATTTCCTTGACTTTCAAGGAAGCGAAGAGCTACCACGTAATTAAACGATCTTCGTCATAGATATTAACACGGAGATGTCGCGTTGGTCTGATCAATTGCGCCGCCATCTTGGAAAGGTCAACAAGGAGAACTATATTATACAGAGAAAGAGAGATTACCATGTTAACGTATGCTGCTATTTACTATGGTTTACTAATGAATGATTAATTAATTAATATATTATGAGTGTTTTTGGATAGCTATATTAATTTATGACCATCTCACTCCGTGATCAGCTGTATTATTATGATCAGCTGTATTATTATTATTATTATTATTATTATTATTATTTACTAATACTCAGTCTACAACATGCACAATTGGTCGACGTTTATGGTAACCCCAATCTTGTGAAAATCGGTTGGAAGGGGGCCGATATGCTCCCTATTGCACACACGGACGGACCTTGACCTCTCCAATATGGCGGACCTGCATATACACCTTAGATATACACGGCAGCTAATGCGGCATCTATATTCAGTCTATGGTCTCTGACGAAACCACTCTCAGACATGATAAGTCAAAAAGTTTAATTAACCGTAGCATCAGACAACAAGTGTTGCATCTGTGTACATGATATATAATTATTATTTAGCCATCGTTGTGGGTTTCTGACATTTCTCTGTGAATCCACCAATGCTAAGACATAGTTTAACTATCATGTCTAGCAATGAACCAGTTTCAAGTGTTGAATCTCGTTCTCGATTATTACTGTCTGGTGTTAAAGTGAAAAGGTTAGAGGTCTTTACAGCTCCGCAGCGCTAGCACGTGTGTGATGAGATTGTAAGTAGCTTATTTTGAAAGTTAATCGCATTATATGTGTATTACGTTAAGGTTTATTCAATAAAATCTTGAACGCTTTCTGAGATTGTTTTGCGATGTGATTCGCTAGGTGGTCAGATATCTTCTAGGCTGTTAAACATACAAAATAGAAAGAAAAAAACCCTCATACTTTTGTATGATTTTTTTTAACCTTGGAAAACATGAAAAAGTAGATTTCATGTTTATGGAATACTAGTATTCAATTTCTCTCTATTCAGATTCGTATGCATACCATTTGGCCATGTAATAATACTAATAATACATGTAGTTTTCAATATTATAATACGTATTGTTATTATTATTATTATTCAGCTGCTGTTGTTTACAGCATAATAATGCAAAGTAGTTTTGTGATCGAGATAGAATGAAATATATTTTTATGTTTCAAACTACAGATTCTTCACCTAAAGAAATGATGGCTGCTATTTCAAAACTTTAGTAATTTATTCCAAACTATTGATTAAATGAGTTAATATACCTGTAAATACCTTTGGGTTCTATTCTTCATAGGCCACCAAATGGTGCCATTTATTGAATAACTGATTGAGTCGTAACTTATAAATATATTGGTAAATAAAAAAAGCATTGGTCAAATTGATTATCGGTTTATCTCAAATATCAACCCACGAGCAACATTTAATTGGTGTAAACATATCATTGACATTGACACTGACAAAGGCAATGAGCCGAAACGTTTGTACAATCTTATTTTCCTGTTTGTAATAAAGTATTTTTTAGATTGCAGAACTTTTTTGCATTTTTGTAATGATATATAGTCTAGGTCTCAGCACCTAATTAGCTGGGAGAGATCTGTGAGTGTTTTAATTGGTGTAAACATAGCCTGATAATCTATGTTTTTGTTCCTTTAGACATAAAGGTATTTGACATGGCGGCCATTTACTCTGGCATTCATCTGAAACTGAAAAACCCTCGCACACTCTGGCCAGACAAACTGAAACTTGCTCGATTTGCATGGATATCAACACAGTGCCTTCTTCCTAACAAAGAGCAGGTAATGTATCTTGAAATGCAGACTTGTTCTCAGTCGACATATTTTTGAGAGTATAACAGAAAACCGTGACTTAACATTTCTCAAATAATTTTCCTTTTATCTGGATATATCTAAGCAAATTGTTTGTAGTGTTTGTAAGTGTATGTTGTTTAAACATTTATGTATATCGTATTAAGCATGTAAAATTTTTCTCTATCATAGGTTCTGTTTGACTGGACAAGTCATGTCCTCACTGGTTTTTACAATAAGAAAATAGAGGTGCCCCCGGAGGTGGTGGAGGGTTTATGGACATACCTTGATGATATTCTTCACAGCAGGAAGCTTCATAATGTGCTGAGTCAGGGAAAAACCATTAGCCTTCGTCTCACAGTAGCACAGGTACCAGTACTTCAATTTCGCAAGAATTTCACTTCTTTAGTGTTGTACTATTTGATCACTTAGTTAATATTAGGTATAGTAGCACTAATATTGGTTTTAATAATAAATCATTTCTAAGTGCATTTTCTTTAGTCTCTTTAATGTTTTTTCTATTATGTTAATTTATTCAAAAAATACTTGTGTATTATTTTTTATTTTTTTTGTCAAAGTTATAAGATGATGCATAATTATACTGATGATTATTTATCGCTTTTAGTTAAAACATGGAATGCTATTCATAAAAATATGATGAGAAAAAACTCTGTCTCAATTTATTAACAATGTGCTAATTATGTTTAATAGAGATTTAGAAAGAATTTGGTTGAATCAGATTACCCAAATATAGTCAAAATTAAGGTCAAGTTGTGAATGCACTCTTGCGCACTAAGGCACGGACAATGAATAATTTAAGCATAAAAAATGTTGCTTTACAACAAGGATTTTTATTTATTTATTTTTTTACATGTTTTTGTTAAAAATGTATGATAAATGTTTAAATGAATAGATACAATGTTTGAATATTTGGTTTAATTTTGCAACTGAAATATTTTTGTTGACTAAATGTACATTTTAATTTTAGTCAGAATAAAACTGAATAAAATTTATTTATATGACATAAATTTATTTTATGGATATTTTTTTTTCAGAAGACCAAAAATATAAGATGAAAAAATTATAGGGGTGTAAATATTAATCGATTCTTATCGATCCATCGATTATACAGCCAACGATTCGGTGCATCGATGCGTCCGCAAGAGTATCGATTAATGTGTTTATTTTGCCGCCTGTCTATTTTCAGCATCAGCTCCGACATACAACCTATGCCTAAGCTGCGGGTGGCGCTAACCTCATTATTGTCTTCTACTTCACACGCGTTAGTCTATCTATGTTCACACACATTGTTGAGTCTGATTTTCAAGAGCGATGGAACCGTCAGAGCGAGCTGGCAATGAAAGTGAAATGTTACACACTCCAGTCGGCGTCAAGTCATGGGTGTGGAAGTATTTTTGCTTCAGGAAAACAGATGGAGCAGTGGTAAGAGATGTTGCAGTTTGCAAAGAAGACTGCTATAGTGTAACATACACATTATGTGAATAGAATACTGTGGCGAGCAGGACGCGGCCGACGTGAGAGAACGGCGCGAGGCCGGTTGTGTGAGTGTTAATGAACGTCACCTGTGACGTCATAGGTATGTCCTCACAGGTGACGTTCATTAACACTCACGCCACCGGCCTCGCGCCATTCTCTCACGTCGGACGGCCGCGTCCTGCTCGCCACAAATACTGTTTCTGTATTCTGAATAAAAGGCTAATTCTTTTTTTTTTGTTGATTTATTTGAAACTTAATAGATATCATGTAAAAATATCTAATATTGAATCGAATCGTATCGCGGGAAATTCTGAAGTATCGAAAATAATCGAATCGTTGGCTTAAGAAATCGGTATCGTATCGAATCGTCATTAAGGCTCCGATTTACACCCCTAAAAAATGAACATTAGCACCATTGCATTCCTCATTTGTTTTATTTTACCCTAGATGATCAATGACAGGATTCTGGAATATTCTTCAGGACCCACATCTGTCAGTTTCCACACTGTTCTGAGCTGTTGTCATGGCATCTTGACCTCCCCAGTGCTCTCTGTGGCCTACACTGCGAAGTACGAGTTATTAGTGGAGCTCTTGACTCGACTCTGTGGCTTGTCCAGTATGCAGCTCAGGCAGCAAAAATATGAGGAGCCTCTCTCGCTCAAAGTCTTTGAGGTTCTGCTAGTTGTTCTCAGCACCTACCTTACAGTGCAGAAACAACAAGCGAACTCCAACCGAGTGTTTTCCCAGGTAACGGCACACCTTCTTCATCCGCTTCTCCTGCTCAGACACTTACTGAACACTAGAGTATGGACTGAGAAGGATGACATCAAGATTCGACAGAATCTGAGCAAGGAAATCCGGAACAGGGTGGACGCTGTCCTTCAGTCAGCGCTCTTCATCCCTGATCATTTACAGTCCTTCAAGGATGACGTTTTACCATCAGAGGTTGAATCTCGGGCCAAAAAGAGCCACACTGGAAAGGGCTTGCAAGGCCCAGTCAATATTATCCTTTCGAAACTTTGCGTCCAAGGAGCTAACGAAGAGGAAGAGGCGTTATTTTATGCCGTTAAGTCAAACTCTCTTGCCCTGCTATTTAAATTCGCCCTAGATTCATTTTGCAAAGGGGGAGAGAACAAGCAAGTGATCTTCCATCTCATGACTAAGCTCATTGTTGCATTGGGGTTCACAGATGAACTGGATATTGATGAGAAATTTAGTGCATCGAACTGGGGTATTGCTTTACTCGCTCTTGAGAACCTCATAAACACAGGTTTGGCTGGTGATATCTATAATGTGGCTGCAGACAGAATAAAACACGGAGAGGTGCAATTTAATTTCTACAGGAAACTGGCTCGCCTATTATTTAACAATACCCAGGTGGGCATCCCAGCTTGGTACCGCTGTCTCAGAACTCTGCTTGCACTGAATCACCATATCCTGGAGCCAGATTTAGATGAGCTCCTTTCGGGTGTGTGGGTTGATGCAGACAACATGGAACTGCGTGTTAGGAAAGCCAGAGAAGCACTCGTGTCTGCCGTCTTGCAAACCTATGGCAAACTTCGACAGCTGCCTAAACTTATCGAGGAGCTGCTTGATGTAGTGTGTCGGCCTGCGGCGGATGAATTGAGACCAGCATTGTTGCCTGAAACAATACAAAAGACCCTGAGTCAGTGTTTGCTAGACAATCCTCCGAGCCAAAATCTTGAGATCTGTTGGCTCATTTTAAATCGGATGCAGTGCTATCTGCTTCCCCACATCCAAGATGAAACATTGGATTTGGCGCTGAAATTGTTTTCTGTGAGTTTGCTCCTCTACGCTGTACTCTTCAGTTTTAAGACCCTGGACAACAGCACCCCGGTGCCAATCGTGAAGCAAACTCAGAATGTGATGACCGAGATGCTGAAGGTTGTTGAAGACCTGTTGAAGCAGAACCTTGTCACTAAAGGTGTTTGGAGGGAAAAGGTCCAAGATGTGACCCTTCTGCTTACTCATACTTGGGTTGAGGTGGATACTCTCTTTCAGATACACTGTGCTAACAAGTACACATCACCAGCTGCCTCACAGAGTGGCGCTTTAGTGGACAAAGCCCTGACGCTAAGGGACATGGATAGTCCACTTGGTAAATTATTAAAGAAACTGCTTCTACTCCACAAGCTGAAGATACACTTGCTCAAATCATCCACTGTAACATCAGATGCATCAACAATGCAGAAATTGGCCCAGTTTATTCTAAACAGGCAAGAACTTTCAATAATGCTCGATGGCGACCAGATCTGGGACTTTCAGTTTTGCAGTGTTAACACCAACACTTATAAGGCAGCTAACTGGTTTCTTGTAACCTCCAACCTTCCATTAATTGCCCCTTATCTCGAACCAAAAGACACGTCTGATTTTGCAGAATGCATGTTGAAGTCTTTGCTTAAGAGCTTGGATGCCTCTGGAAGCAATTTGGAGAACACTGGGCTCTCTGTCTCCTTAATATCCAGACAATTACTCGAGAGTCCTGTTCTTTGTGAGCTCCCTGAGATTTATTCAGCAGTGATGAAGTGCATCATCAAGGCATTTTTTGGACCGCTCGACTCAGCGCACATGCAGTTAATCAGTCCTTCGTTTTTGTTGGAAACGCCTTGTGTGGAAATGGTTGGTGTAGAAGATGGAGAAACAGGCATGACACCTTCTCTGAATAGACTGAAGGCCATTGGACAGGAGATGTTAGACTCTGTCAAAATGAGATCTTCCATACCTCTATCTAAAGCACAGGTAGATCGATTACTGCAGCTACTCAAAATCACAAGTGTCCTGAATGGATACGCAATGTCCCCTGAAGACTATTCAGAACTTTTTCTGTGCTTGTTCACACTGACGTCTTGTGTTCAGTGTGATGAAAGCGTCAATCTCTCTGCATATGTTGCATTGCTCAAAGAGCTTTTCAGTCTCATGGCTTCACTTCTGCTGGTTAAAAACTCTCAAACACTCCTGAAAGTTGTTCATGGAAGCAATCTCTTAGATGCAACAATGACATCCCTATTCTCTCGGAGCAGCAAGGGGCTCTTTAAAGGTGTGGATGGCCCGACATGGTTGTCTTTCCTTCAGTCAGTTCAAGACTTCATTCAGTCCCTAATTCAGCTCTTAATCGACAGGAAGAGCAGCATGAGCCTCAATCTGGAGAAGTTTACCTCCTTCATGGTTGAAAGTAACATCGCCGCAGGAGTTCTGGCTGTAGACACAGGGGATCTCTGCTTGCTACAGCTCCATCTGGCAACTTTAAGCATACTTTGCAAAGAAATGATCGCAACCCTCGGCAAGAACAAACAGCTGGATCAGACTCTGACTCATTTGTTAGAGAAGGCCACTTCTGTCATGGAGCCAGCCATTCTGGCTGTGCTGATGGGCAAGGGAAGTAGTCTCCTCAGGCAGTCCTTCTCTGTTGAAGTGGTAACGGTCATGATCAGGAGTGAACTAGCAAGAGCCTCCAGCTCTGAGGACGACAGGCTGGAGAAAATATCCCGAATGGCTTTCTACCGGAGCTTTTACCAGCAGATCTTAAAGGAACTGTTCCCGTCACCTCGTCCTATGGACTTCCTCATTTCATCAGTTAACTATCTCTCTGCTTTTTACACGGCTGTGGACAAGACAAAAGCAGCAGATCTTGAAGAAGTCCATATTGCGATTTTGCAGAGTATTCACGCACTGCTGTCAGGTACAATGTCCTAAAACTTTTTAAAACATTTACTTGACTAGAATAAAATGTATATCTTAAATGTTTGTGAACACTCTTGTCTGTTCTGAAAACAGTCTCTCAATCATTTCATCAGGAACGTGGATGTCGTTGTCAGACGTGAAGGAGCTGGAAGGGCCAGTAAAGGAGCTTCTTAATCAGCTGGTGTCCAACTGTTCTCAAGAGCAGTTCCATCTATTACTGCTGATGCTCAGAGAGGGGCTTGTGCCAGCAAAGATTGAAGGAGGCCACTCAACTGTAAGATTCTCCTAGTGTCTGAGTGTTTATTCTTGCGTTCTTATTATTGCTGTTATAGTTAATGCAATAAATGTATCGCTTAATATAATTAATATATTCACAAGGTTAACACATTTATTCAGTTTCAAGGTTTCATTGTGTTCTGTGTAATTTGTAAAAACCTAGAAAACAAAAGCCTTTAGCAGACAACATCAGTGAATAGTTGAAAAAGACACTCTTTAAATGTAATTTAATTGGTGATAAAACCCAGACTGGACAAATAATGAAAGTAATGTAATTTGCATTCTTTATATGGTGAAATTTAAGTGTTATTGAATTTGAGCTGAAGTGAAATATCACCCAAGAGTGACACTCTCTTTCATAACAATACGAACACCAGAGGAGGACTTCAGGTCAAAGGGCAAACACATCTTAAGGAATGTCATATTACATCAGTAATGAGTTGGGAAAGTTTTATTATTGAATTATTGCAGAGAATAGTTTCGGTTTTGTTTTTCCACTGGGTTTGATGCAATTTTAGAAATAGAATCTGTCTTTGTTTTTGCATAAATTTTCACTATGAATGTCATTCACACAAATGACTTAACCTAATTATCACATAAAGGTCTGTTTAGTTTTAATTTTTTTTTTTAAATTAACTGAATGTCTGCAAAAAGTTATATGATTATTAACAATCATTTAGTGAATGAAAGCCTTAGGTCTTATATTTAAAAGTCTGCCACTTGTTTTGGATAGACTCTTTAAGATGTTGTTGTTTTTTCTCTCACAGGAAGTTCTCTCTGCGGTGACTTTTATAAAGCTGCTCTCCTGTTGTCTGTTTCCAGAGCATTGCTCAAAGGCTTTTTGGCTTATCACCCCACAAATCATATCCACTCTCATTGTGAGTATTTCTTCTTATTGGTTGATCATCTTGATTGTTTACAGGTGTTTACTTTTAGTCATTACGTGCCGGTTTCTTCTTTAATGCTTCTGTTAAATATACCTACTCTCTGTGCCGGTGTCTGGTGGTGAGTCTCATGTAACCAAGTCAAATTCACATTTTGTGTCGTGTCCTTGCCGGTGTCCGTGCCGATGTACGTGTCCGTGACCGTGCCAGTGTCTGAGAACTTTAATAGTAGCTTTAACAAGTGTCAATGTATAATTTATACAGTGAAGTCTATGTAGTGTTTTACTTTTATATTTTCTCATTAAATTTCTTTCTTGAATGCTTCTGTTAAATACGCCTACTGTCCGTGTCCGTGCCGGTGTCCGTGCTTCATGTTTCCATTGTATCTTGTCTAGTTTTGTTTGTGTAACCGCTGTTGGTGAGTCTCATGTAACCAAGTAAAATTCACGTTTTTGTGTCCATGCCGGTGTCCGTATCCATGTCCATGCCTATGTATGTGCCGGTGCCCGTGTCCATGTCCGTTTGTGTAACCGCTGTTGGTGAGTTGGTTACACAAACAAAATTAGACAAGATACAATGGAAACATGGGGGCTATTTAAAGGGTAACTAAGCCCCTGGTCAGAGCCTGACTCCACCCACTGGCAATATTTGAAAAATGCTGGAAAAGTGGGCAGAGCCCAGCAGAGATAGAGGGGACGAACCGAGGGCAAGGCTGAGCGGGGGGGCTTGCACCTGGGACCCGCAGTGACAGCTGCTGTCAGACTCGCTAAAATGGAGAGTGACTGGAGTGATATTTTGCTGCTATGTGAAAAAAATATCTAGCAAATCGCGCCGGCGCATTTGTAGACACCAGAGGGTTAACTTTAGCCTAATAGGAAGGAACATAAATTGTGATTAAAAATATATGCTCACTCACATCATGACGCCGCTGCGGTGATGGAGTCCATGCAGGAAGAGCAGCGTTTGGCACTGTGTCGCTTTTCAGCGCGAGCTGTGTGGAGAGGCCCATTTCCACCTCCATTGCGTTGGAGAAGCAATCCAGCGTAAAATGCAGGTTGCACACTCGAGCGATAGGCGGGAACTCACGGTCTTCCAGGCCAAGTGCATGCAACCACTGGCGCCTAATTTCCAAGTCTAGTGGAAAGTTATGCAGTCCAGCAGTGCTGTTGCAACCAGCAACACTACACCTACGTACCATCCTAACCACTGTACTAAATACAGATAAAGCTAATGCTAAAAATCTACTCTATTCTAACTGATGCAATACTATGCTACTAACTAACTATGCTTCTAACAACACAAACAACTATGCTAATTAACTACCTAGGCTACACGTGATATGATATTTTTGCCATATCACCCACCCCTAATTTCAATACCTGTTTTCCATTGATTTCCTGATTGATGTGTTTCCCCTGAATAAGATTAATCGCACATGCATTTCTGTTGTACTAGTGTCTTTTTTAATGTGATGCTCTTTTCAAGATGAAAGTAAAAGTATCCTATTTTGTGTAATGCAAAATGTGTAAACATCTGCATAAGCACTGGACTCCCAAAATGTGTCTTCTCAACAACCTTAAAAATGTTCCATGTAAATTCACTAAACCCATGAACCTTTGCACACTACATCCAGAGACGCATGAAAATGTCTTGCATGAAAAAACAGTATTCGATTTAGGCAACTTTACTGTATTATGCCCCTCTGATTTTTTATTTAAACTGTAAATGCGATAATGCTTTACTTCTATCGAGCCTGGAACGTTCCTTTAAGTGTGCCTAGAGAGTTGGCTGGCAGTGAAAAACACCATGCAGCTAGATTTGTAAAACCGGCCTGACTCTCTTGTCTTGATTTAGCATTAAAATTCATCTGCCTGGAAAAGTCAGGTTTCAAAGTCTTCTTTGTCACTGAGTTCACTCAGATAAGGACTGTGTGTGCCTGTCAGGTTACTTTTATCACTGCACCTTTCTTCTCAGTGTCAGAACTTGACATACTAGAGCTACCGCTAGCTGAGTTCACCACAGCGACCTGAAGCTTTGCTAACCTTGCTCTACTCACATCTTCACTCTTTCATACACAAAAATAAGAACAAGCTCTGTAAACGTCACTTTTGTCATTAATATTTTATAGCACTGATCGTTTGCTGAGCAGTTGAAAAGTATTTTGTGTGAACTTATATTGTGCTAAGTTTGAAGATGTCTGCAGGATTTCTGGTAAATGTAAGCCTGGTTTGTTAGAGCTCTGCAGTCCATATATTGCTTCATAAAATTTTAAGTAATCTTTAAAGGTGCACCTATTTTTTTCCCATTAAAATAACACCTACATCCAATGAAATAGGATTAATAAAATTGATCAAAAGTGAATTGTAGTTGCCCACAATTTCAAGCTGTTCTTTGAAATTTCTATACATCAAAGCATCCTAAAAAAATTGTTTCTTGGTTTCCAAAAAAAAATTAAGCAGCTCAACTGTTTTCAACATTGATAATAACATATTAGACTAATTTCTAAAGGATTAGACTCTGCATATTAGATTAATTTCTAAAGGATCATATGACAGTAAAGTATGGATTAATGATACTGGAAATTCAGCTTTGCCATCACAGGAAGAACTTGCATTTGAAAATATCTTAAAATAGAGTACAGGTATTCTAATTTGTAATAATATTTCACAATATTCCTGTTTTGCTTTTTTTTTTACCAAATAAATGTAGCCTTGTTGAATTTAAGAGACTTCTTAAAAAAAAAAAAATCTAATTCATTATTTCATGTTAGGTTTATTTATTTTGTCCCTTTACCTCTACTGGTAGATCATGGCACTAGTAACACCAAGGTCGTGGATTTGACTCCCAAGGAAAACCATCAGCTAAATGCATAAATGTTACATATGAAATTTCGTCCTGCTGATTTTGTAATCCAGAAATGATTTAAAGGTTATTTCAGTCAAACATCTCATGACTTATAACAAGGAATAAGTTAGCAGTAACCATTTGAGAGGCACTCTTGAGTTTCACAGATTTCCTTACAGATTTTCCTCCCTTGTTTTCAGTTTGTAATAAAGGAGTCCAGCAAGTTCCCATCTCTGACCCGTGCGCTGACGTTGCCAACTCTCGAGGCTTTGACCGTCCTGCTCTGGCAGGGTAAAGCACAGATCTCCAATCCACACCATGTGATTGTGGTTTTGGGTGCACTGCAGTTTGTGCCTCTTGACAGTCATTCCATGGAGGACTACCATGCTGCTTTTGAGGCCATCCATGAAGCCCTGTTTGCAATTATCCACTGCTACCCTCAGGTGAGAATCCTCGGACTGAAAGGAAAGAAAGAGATAAGAGCTTAAACCTGATAATACTTAGACATTTTATTGTTGCACTTTTTCAAGTTGAATTATATCCTTATACATTTTACAATTGACTTAAAATCACCTAGAGGATGTGGAGGAAGAAACTGTGCCAGATGCTTTTTAAAGGCTGGTATCTGACATCTGTTTATCTGCTCTTGCTTAGGGACAAAACTTTTTTTTATCCATTGTGTGGATCAAGAATTTATTATATCCGTCAGTAAACACAAAATGACCTGTATTTTCTTGAGATGAAAACCATATTACTCTGCAAAAAAATTATAAGTAAAATTAATTTGTAATTTGCTCTTATGTACTGTAAAAATGGTGGATGTCATGGTAAATAGGTAACATTCAGATGAATTTGTAAATTAGTTTGGTAAGGCTCATAGGTTTATGCAAATAGGTGTGTTACAGACTAATGCTGCTTGATGTTTGGAGCGACCATTACAGTACCCTGGAGAGGTGTTTAATTTGCACTTAATACGAGTGAAAATTAGAATGTAGTTTGGAAAGTTGCCACAGTTCCCGAGGGGGAAGGCGCCCACGGTGAGTCTGGGACGTGAGGAATGCTGAGATTGTGCAAAACTTCAAGGTGCACAGGTTTCTTTGCCAGTGAAAGTGGGAAACTTGGTACAATCTCAACATGACCTTGTGTTTGATGGGTTTTATAAAGTGAAATGAGAGCACAAATTAGGGTTAGCAGAATGAATTAGCCATAATGATGACTGAACAACTACAGGTGCACTTACACAATATGTAATTGATCACTCACACTTTCTGTATCCACTAGGGCAATAGACCTAATAACTATAATATATATGGAAACCTATTTCAGCCATTTGACCGTATTTAAATATATACAGATTGTACATATACGCCAAAGCATAATATGCTGTTAGTCCTCCGCGTGCTGCCAAAACAGTGCAGACCTGCCGAAACATGGACTCTACAAGACCCCTGAATGTGTCCTGTGATATCTGGCACCAAGACATTAGCAGCAGACCCTTCAAGTCCTGTAGGTTGTGAGGTGATGCCTCCGTGGATCAAACTTGTTGGTCCAGCCATCCCACAGATGCTCAATCAGATTGAGATCTGGGGAATTTTGAGGCCAGGGCAACACCTTGAGCTCTTCATCATGTTCCTCTAAAAATTCCTGAACAATGAGTGCAGTGTGGCAGGGTGCATGATCCTGCTGAAAGAGGCTATTTCCACCAGGGAAGACCATTGTCCTGAAGGGGTGTAGCTGGTCTGCAACAATGTTTTAATAGGTGGCATGTGTCAAATTTACGGCCACGTGAATGAGTGGAGCAGAAAATTGCCTAAAGCATCACACTCCCTCCACCGGCTTGTGGTTCGTCCCTCCTCGGACCACTGTTGGTAAATTCTCACCACTGCTGACCGGGAGCAACCCACAAGACTTGCCGTTTCGATACTCTTGACCCAGTCGCCTTCCCATAACAATTTGGCCTTTGTCAAAGTCGCTAAGATCTTTATTCCTGCCCATTTCTCCTGCATCCAACACGTTGATTACGAGAACTGATTGTTTGCTAATTTACCCAGACCATATCTGTGTTTGAAATCACCCCCTATACCCTCATTCACTACTCCCTACATTACTCCACTAATATGGTCCACGAGTGAGTGAATTCAGACACTGAGTGTGCCGGAACGACTGCTGCTTTTGTATAGTTTGTGCTTGATGTTTAATAATCACTTGTAACTTAGCAAACTGGCAGTAGCTCCAGCAGTAAGATGAAAAGATTTATCTTGAACTCTGTCATGGAAACTAGCATGTATAAACCTTAATTAAACAATTTAAAAATCAATTAAAAAGGAATTTATACCTGTATGATATTATGCTGTAGCCACATTGGACCAGCGGTTTGGAAAATGGATGGATGGATGATTAAGCTGCGGGCGCCATCTTCCGTTGAGACAAGGGAATTCATTCGGCACGACCCTCACAGTGCAGTGTGGGTATTCTCTAGCTGTTGAGTGTAATTCAGTTGTACACTCGTTATTGCTGTGCATTATGAGATTGAATGAGTGTACTCGATAACATCCACTATCGTTTTGGACACCACTACAAATGGCTGTTCCCTCAATTTCGGACACAGCCCTTGATATGTAGCCTTGTTAGGAGATGATCAATGACATTTGCTTCACCTGTGACTGCCTGGTCATAATGTTTTGGCTCATCAGTGTATATACAGTATACACACACACACACACACACACATTATCATGCCTGTCATTGTAAAGATGTTGCTTACATTGTTGCTATAGATTTCAACAAAAAATTTGACTTTTAATAAAAAAAATGATTAATTCAGGGTTTTTGAATCATTCCATAGTGTTCTTTTGCCAGCCACCTATGGACGCATCAAAAAATGTTTAGCTTGCTGTTTTTGTGGCACAGAAGATTATTGTTTTTTGTGTTCGACTTAAATCTAGACTAGACTAGTATTCATGGGATAAACATAAAGACCAATGGGTTTTATACCAAGCCCAGCTGTGCATTAATTTTGAGAGCTTTAAATGTTTACAGGTGATGCTGAAGGCTTCTCCAGCCTTCCTGAATTGCTTTTATCGCCTGGTTTCATCAGTCATGCATGAAGGCAGACAGCGGGGCGACTCTGACAGAGGTAAGCACACCTATTATACCCACATTCAGAAGTGTTCTAAAAGCCATGTCAGATGCTTCAATTTAAACATAATATACCATTCAAAGGTTTGGGGTTAGTAAGATTTTGTAATGTTTTTAAAGAAGTCTCTTATGCTCACCAATGCCGCATTTATTTACAGTAAAATGGTAATATCAAGTTTATTACAATTATAATAACTTTTTCTATTTGAATATATTTGAATTATAATAACTTTTTTTTGTTTGAATATATTTTAATGTGTAATTTCTTCCTGTGATGGCAAAGCTTTATTCCTCCAGTCTCTTCAGTGTCACATGATCCTTCAGAAATCATATATGTGTGTGTGTATATATATCCCATTGAGGATATTATCTCCTGGCTGTTAATCTTTTATTCATCACTATCTTGTAACCTGTTCCATTAGACTTCTGTGCAAGCAAACAAATGTAACATTAGGCCCTTTTTTGTCAGTATGTCTGCACTTATTGTTGGCTGTAGCTGACAAAGAAAGTGGAAATCTCCTGATGCTGGCAAGCCATTACATTTGAAACTGCTGATATATATCCCTCCATATGTCTGCTGATACTTTTCCATCTACAAGTTGCATCTAAAATTTCATTTATTGTATAGGAAGAAAAAGCTGTTATTTGAGGTATGATTCACCTAATGAGACAAGCACTTCGTTGAGTTGTGTTCAGAGACAGACGCTTGCAGACTGTGGCTCTGTGGATTGAATTTCAAAGTGAAGTGAAAGAGAAAAAAATTCCACGAAGAAAGAAGGTTGAATTTGATCCCTAAGCTCGAGGCTCAACGCATTTTAGCACTGAAGGCATATCTCTCTTTGAATTGAGAACTCTTTTTATGACTTAAGATTTAAAGTTTTTTTGGCAGTAGCATCAGTACATTTAGTCTTTCTTCATTTCTCATATTTTCATAATTGACTTCAAAGCTCAGTCAGAACTAAAATGTATTCAGATGTGAGGCAATTTCAATCTTATTTATCATCTTGTGGTAACTTTCTTAAAGCATGAATGTGATGCCATGATCACTCACTCTGATTTGCCCGGCTCCACAGATAATGTGGCTTTGAAAAGATTTAACCAGGATTCATTATTATAATATTGTCATGGTTGGTGGTTAATGCATTCTGTTCGTTTTTAAAGTAAGAGAACGGAATGCTTAATTAATAGATTTGGAATATATTTGCATATGTTTAAAGACACTGGACAAGGTACACTACCATTTAAATGTTTGAGATCAGTTTAAAATTAAAATAAATACTTTTATTTAGCAAAGATGAATTAAATTGACAAAGTGACAGTAAAGACTTTAACATGGTTACAAATGTAAATAAATGTATTTCAAAGAAATGCTGTTTTTTTTACTTAATCAGTGAATCTTGAGACAAAATGTATCACGATTTCCACAAAAATATCAATCGGCACAACTGTATTCAATATTGATAATGAGAAGTTAAGATAAAAAGAAATGCTTCTTGAGCGGCAAATCAGAATGATTTCTGAAGGATCATGTGACACTGAAGACTGGAGTAAAGATGCTGAAAACTCAGCTTTGCCATCACAGGAATAAATTACACTTTAAAATATATTAAATTAGTTAAGTTATTTTAAATTGTAATAATATTTCACAATATTACTGTTTTATTGCAGGGCATGATGGAGAGAGGGTGAATGGTTTAAGTTAGAATCAGAGTTATGATCTTAATGCACCAACGGCATTAAGCATAATTAATCATGTTTTAACATTTTGTTTGGACAGTTCTAATTAAAATATTACAATTACTTTGTGATCTCTTTTTCAGCCTCGGAGAAAGACAGAGAAAGTCTTCTGAAGTGTGCTAGGCTGGTGGAGAGGATGTACACTCATATTGCCAATGCTGCTGAAAATTTCACAGTCCTGTCCTCATTCATGGTTGCACAATATGTCAGTCAACTGCAGAGGGTGAGACACTAATCATGATCAGTTTTTACCTACCACATGATTTCTACTCTCATGTTTCCTGAAATCGTCTTTTCTGCTCTCATGAACCGCTTGCCTGAAGTAAAAATTCGCTAGAATGTTTGAGAAGAATCTTCTCAGTGTTATAAATCTTAAACCACACAATTATAGCTTGAGAGCATGCACTTACAGTAGTCCAGGGTGACTTGAGAGCCAATTGTTTTTGTCAACTTGAAGTGTGACATGCGTTTGACCTTCCAACTGCCCTAGACTCATGTTGCTGCACTGAACAATCACATTAGCGCACATTGCAGATAATTGGTGTATACCCTCACTAAGTTTCGGTCTTATTTCCTAGGTGACGCTTCAGCCAGAAATCAAGTCACATCTAACAGAGGGCGTATACTGTATCCTGGACCACTGTGTTGAACAAGACATCAAGTTTTTGAACACCACCCTTCAAATGGGTGTCAAGGAAGTGTTCAATGAACTGTACAATAATTATACACTCTATCACAAAACTCAAAGGCAAGGAGAAGAAAAGTACACCGTCTGACAATTGCATCCTCTGTCTTGAGTGAATAAACCTGTATTTTTTTTTACATATAATTAATGTTATAGATAAGTATATCTCTAGAAATGTTTTACATTTTCATTATTCATTTACCCTCATGTTGTTCCAAACCTGTATGACTTTCTTCTGTGGAACACAAAAGATATCTTGATTTATTTGTCTATAAAATTGAAGTCAGTTCACTCCATTGTTTAATTCCCACATTCTTCAAAATACCTTTTTCTTGTGTGTGTTCTGCAGAAGAAAGAAAGTCATACAGGTTTGAAACAACATGAAGGTTAGTAAATGATGACAGAATTGTAATTTTTGGGTGAGCTATCCCTTTAAATGAGGGAAACACAGTCTGAAATAATTGCTAACACCTTGTATTTTATACTTCCTCGGTTTTTGTACATGACAAACATGACCTCTTTTTTTTTTTACGAGAACAGTACTTTTTTTCTGTGTAGTACTAGTGTTCTCAAGCAAACCCTATTATATGGTTGAAGTTAAAGACCTAAAAGAGTTCAGATGTTACATGCTTATCTGAATTGACAACCTGAAGTCCTGAAACTAATGTCTGACTCATCAGCCAGATTTGGTGAAATTCTGTCTCAGGATTATGCTTCTGAACAAACCAATTAACCTGAGGTTGCTGCAGGTGGACTCTATGAAATTAGTGTACTGTAAAAGTGTCTCCTGGATGACAAATAACCAATTAAAGATGTACCCCAATAGACATATACTGTTAAATGGTGTTAAATATTTATAGAGCAGTCACACTAACTGCTCTGGTGTGCCTTAACTTATTTTGCTGTTCTCCAGTGTACAACAGCATTGTTCCTGATGTTTCCTCCAAAGAGAATCTAGATGCAATACAGGAGATACCTCAGATGCAGACTGAATAAATATACAACTATACAAACATAATTCAACTTAGACTGTACAAATGCAAAGGCATTGGCTGGTCATGTTACTGACTTCATGAGAAACTAGAAAGTCTTGTACTTTCTTGACTATGGTGTCTGGCTTTCCAAGTGACATTTGGCCCTGTAGAACATGTAAGTGTGTGTCTAGTGGGCAAACTGATGGTGGAGCCCTTTCCCAATTGATCAGTAGTCCTTCAGGTTTGTGTTTGTTAAAGTCTTCAAGTGTTGCACCACCCTCCAGAGGCATTCCTGTATTAAACTTCCCAAGCTTTAATCTCCCTTTATCAGCAGAGTCAGGAAATAGCGGGTACCCTAGAATTGGTGTCTGTAGGGGGTCTTGCAGGAAAGCGGAGGGCTAGAACGGGGCAGAAACCATCCCAGACGGCACCCAGGAGCTGGCAAGGATGATCAGACGAGATGGCCGAGAGCCAACACTGTTGCAAAACAGATTCGGCTCATTAGCCCTAGTGAATGCTCAAATGTAGGGGCTTAGATACAACACACCACAGAATGTAGGGAAAAGATATTTGCCCACATTAGAATTACTGATATACGATGCTGTTCACACTCATGTGGAGTTCCATCTGAATTTTTTTGGATGGCAATTAGAAAGGCACATTTATCAAAGGTTATAACAACATGTCAATGTGTGTTTAATATAGAGTTCCAATGTTATTTCTACCATATTTCATGCATGACTGCGTTTATTGTCATAATAGTCAGCTGGCTTCATATTCGAGTCTGAATTGCTCAGTGAGAGTTGCTCAGTGTTGGCATGTTTAAAAATGTGCACCGATTTAAATATGACAATTTGTCTGTTGGAATCAAAATTGTTTTCAAATGTCTTTTTTTTAAATCGGAGGTTAAGAGTGGTCATTTACTTCATGTCGTTATACACACAGCTGCCAGTTTTGTGAATGTGGTGTTATTTCCCTATTATATGGAGATAGAGCTTTCATAAGAAACATGTTGACCTATTATGGCCACTAGGAGATATGTGTTTTCTGTGAACACCCTGGAAGTTTTTACAATTCACTCCAGGCTATATCTCAGAACAGAAAATATCTTATTGTAGGTTTTTGATCTTATCATCCTCCTGACAATTGTACACTAAAAACCTGTCACCAGAAACTTTCTTCCTGAATGGCCTAGTGCAATGGGTGTTTATACTCAAGAATTTTCATGTGACATGAGAGAATAAAACATTTTTGTAGCCATCAACATGGTTAAATGATAGGTCAGAATTATAAGTTCCTCCCTAAATACCCCAATTTAAGCATAGCGTCACCTTTCATTCTTCTAGAGGAAGTTCTTACAACTGATTTGGAGGGACTGAAAAGAGGTGGAAGGCTGGGGAGCAGTAAAGCATTATAAACCTTTTACAATATATGCACACTATAGGAAATGACACGCATTCTCCAATTGTAGGCTACATGCCAAATGTTCCCTCTGTAAGGAGGTTTCAAATGCCAAGTTTAAGAGGAGGAAATGCACTGCCACAATAATGTGATGTTTAATTGTGTTGGTTTTTGAAAATAAAACCATTTTATTAAGCTTCGAATTTGTTAAGAGTGTTAAAATACTGTACATGTCATTTGAGGTAGTTTTTTTTCTGTTATGATGGGACACTGACATAATTACATTGTGACGAGACAGACATAAATAAGGGACACATAAAAACACGGCAATTCAGTCACTGTGATGCAGAAAATCTCAAAACATGCAGGCTCAAAATTTGGGGCAATTTAGTCCATTGCCATTCCTTTAGAATATCCTGATATTTAAATTGCATCCTCAGAAGCCAGAGGTTATTTCACTTTTGTAGTATTTAGATACAATTTACACATTCTTCCAGACATGATTTTGATCAGATTTATGTATTTTTATTACCCACTTTCAGAAACCCTCCAGCTCCACCTGTATTGATCTGCTACGGGGTTTATTTCAGATATGCAGCAGCAGCATGTCTCACATGCCCACAGCATTATGTCTGTGAATGTATTGCATTGGAAGTCTCTGTACTTGCTCTGCAGCAGCAGCATAGCAGATCTATTCCGCCAAGACCAAATACATTAACATTGCTATATCCATTACTATGCCAATCTCCCAGAGAGTTGGCATGACAGAACTGTGATTGATTGCTTTACATGTCAGTCACATGGCTCTTGTCTAAATTGACGGTTATGGCCATAAGCTGCAGTAATGGACCCTTTTCACATTTCCCATGTACTTCAGAAGTACTTGGGAAATCAGCAAATACATTAGCTCCAACGGTGTAATGAAATATCCGCTATTGCTTTCCCATGACTTCAAAAGGGAAACATATAGAGACAGATTATGGCAGTCAGAAGCAGTCTTATTTTATTATCCTTTTTTTTTTTTTAAATAATATTTTGAATTCATTTTGAATTTTTTTATTTTGAGTTTTAGTTTTAGTTAAAGGCATTTTTTGGGTAATTTTGTTATGTTTTTGTGATTTTATTAGATTCAGTTTTTTTTTAAGTAGGTCTATAGTTTAATTTATTTTCATTTAATATTTTAAATTAATATATTAATTAAAAATTTTATTAATTTTAGCTTTAGTTATTTTAGTAGTTTATTTTGTTTTATTTTTGTTTCACTTAACATTTCATTAAAACATTTTTTTTTTTTTTTTGGTTAACTTTAAAAACAGTCAAAGAAGAGAGAAAGATCTCGAATTTACAGTGTTTGGTAATTTCATTTACATTTTTGTTATTTAATGGAAGGGTACACAAAGTATGGTGATACGTGTTTTTTTATTTTATATATATGTATATTTTTTTTACAATTATCAGGCCTTCTTTACATTTTGTAGGTAAATGCATTTATACAGTCATGGGACCTAGAATTCTTGGTTACAGCCTTGCTCCCTTATTCTTTCCACACATGAAATTATTCACATTTTAATTTGATGCGTTTTTGTTAATTAATTACTTTACAAAGTTAAATATCCAAGAACATTTGCTAAAATGAATAAAATAGGAATAAGTAAGCCGGCCAAAAGACATAGTGTGTGCACAATATAAGGCAGTACAAATTAGGTTACATAAATGTGTGCATTATTTTTCAATGACTTCAGTAAAAAAGAACGTAACACTATAATACCGGTAATATGTTTTTGACAGACTCAGATCTGCAGAATGAACCAAACAATGATTCTGGGTGCATCTTGAGGTACAGGCTAACGATGGATGTCCCCACCCCCAGCCCTCCTCCGCCCGCGTCTCTGTGGAGCGTGATTGGATTAAAGTCGGTTACCCTTTCCCCTCTAACCCGGTGATGCTGGCTGTTTCCTGCTTCTTCTTCTGTCCAACCGCCGCTGCTGGTGAATTCGTGTTAGTTGAGCGCTGTAGCCACAGCGAGACGCAGAACGTGGACGTCAGTGGCTTTTCACGGCACAAACCCCGAGTCAGCCACTGTATTATCCCATCCAAAATCACAGCAATGCGCAGGAAATCTAGGATATTATTATGTTTTGCTGTGCTTTGGGTTCTTGGCATAGCATATTATTTCTATTCGGGGACAACGCTGAGTCGAAAGGTAGGTTTTTCCTTTGGCTGCTTTCTTCGTGTTTCATGCTGCTGGATCGGCGCAAATATAAGTTGTTTGGGGTGATTGTTTCGAGATATTTCGTTTGCGGATGAATGAGGAAAAAACAGTCACTACGGCGATAGAGAAGACGAGAGAAGCCCACACGTTTAAATAGCCAAAGTCTATTAAGGGAACTCACAAAGATAGTGTTATCGCTATACGTGCTGTGATTTAACTGCGAGACTATCAAATAACCCGTTTGGTTAAACTGAATTAAAAGCCTATGATGCTTCTTTCTAACAGGCGTATTTATTCCGGAGTCGTTTTAAATGCTTTGTTACGCCGATTTTCTTTAGGGGCGAGAGGGACGTTGATTGGCTATACAAACATGTACGTTAACTTGTATGTAACATAAATGATATTTGTTACTTTACAAAATTTTACTATACAAACTGCTGATGATATGCTATAGCCTAAGCTATGAGCAATTTGTATAGTAGCCTATTTGTAATGTTTCAAGGTAAAGTTAGTGTTAAAGCCAATCTACAATTAACGTTACATGAGTTAGTTCCGGTTATCACATTTGAGAGCTAATTTAGTCTGGAACTTTTTTTTTTATTACTGGTCGTGGCGATTATTCTTCTGAGTGATTCGAGTACGTTCAGTGAAAGATTCGTTCAGAACCTTCAGTGACGCTTTCTGCTGGTTACTCCAGTAGGTGGCGTCACAATGGAGTATGTATTTGTATGTTGTAAGTCGTTGAATCGTTCGCTATCAAATAAGAAACTCTGAAGTGGAGTGATATTCAGTGCAACAGCGCAGCTGTTTATTGAATTACTACAAATCTGTAGTAATCCATATAGCCTACTAACATTTTTCCCGTTTGTATCAATCTTATTTTTAATGCAAGGCAGCTGTTATTTTAGCTGTACTAAAACAGTCGGTTGTGCTGCAAAGTGGTACTTAATATATTAATTTGTGATAAATTGTGATTTATTTTTAAGCACATAATTTTACCGTTAACTGCACTTTGTTAATTTTCTATAGCAGCTTATAAATCAGAATGATCACAATAACAGGAAATAACCAGGGGGGTAATCCATCGACCGGAAGTTGAAGCCGGCCGGGTGCCGCCATGTTGTAGCAGAACTTCACTTGCATTAGCATTTCCATTGACTCCCATTCATTTTGGCGTCACTTTGACAGCGAATAACTTTACATCTGAGGCGTTTAAAGACTCCATTTGTCCATTATTTAT